GCGAGACTGGGAAGCGAGACAACCAGGGCGGACTCGCTCAGTACGCGAAACTTACCGTGGTTGTGTGAAACTTTGAGCGGAGATTACCCACCTCAAAAAGGTATTTATCGCTTTTCTTTAAACGTGGAAACGAGCGCTCTAGTTGGCCGAAGTAGGGCCTGCAATAGGCTCATCGCTTTTCTTTGCGCGAGGGATCCACCGGACCTTTAGGATGAGACTGAACGTCCGGTCCTTGGACTAACTTCGCTCGGCTGTATCACAAAATGCTCTCTTTGTTTATTTTTCTTCTACTTGCCGATGTATATTCTGGACAGATATACATTGTTTAAACTTCGTAGATCTTGTGGCTCGGCGATTTCGGGGAACCGAAGAACGTTTCTCATGCTATGCATACCTTCTTTTTTCTACCTTTCGCCCAGTTTCTTGCCGTGATCGCTGGGCTCTGATGTATGGGAGTCTCGGTTTTCCACGCCCCAAATTTGCAACAACCTCATTTTCCCGGCTAATTGGCTTTGGACGAGGTCCGTCGGCGCGGGCAGTGTGCGAGGAATCGGTGTCGCCATCCGTCGCTGCGCTTCTCCGCACATTCTGAGAAGCGAGCGTAGATTTGTCGTGCTCCTGCCGGGATGCGAAGCACGCCCGAGCTGTCCTTTTAGGATGAGGCGGTAGCGCCGGCGTCGGTAGGGCCCCTGCTAAATTTAGTTTCTCCGGTCCGACCGGCGGGGCGACGGTGGGTTTTTGTTAGTAGACAGTGTTGTCGGGCAGAAACGTCTGCACTTTATTTCCACCCGGTACATGACGTGAGACGTTATAATTCGCTAGGCGTGTTCTGGGACTGAACCAACACTGCAGGTTGCGAACTCGATCATCGTATTCTTAGAGTGCTGACAGCCGCATTTAACCTGTACCCGGTTTTATGCGGATTTCGTTAGTTCTCGGTGTCGTTGATTTTTGTGATTAAGGAAAAAATAAAAGAAAACTGACGCTATTTTTACGTCTTCCTCGTGTTCGACTTCTCGATCGGGAAGCCTCGACTTTCTAGGCGTGGTCAGCGATACGGAAGCGCCCCGAATTACTCCGGGAACACGATCGTGATGTTTATCGATTCTTTTTTTTTGTTTTTGTTTTTGTTTATACGGAAGCGTGCATGCCCTCTCGTGAGCTGGGTAGTCTGGAATTCTGTGTCAGCTGTGCTAGCCGGCAATCAAGGGGTGCCGTACTACACGCCACCGATAGCCGTGTGTCCATAGAGGTCGTTAGCATGCCTTTTTTTTTCTTTTCTTTTATCGGGTTTTTGTGCTGAGTTATCAACACCTTGCCTCTTTATCATCACTATCTGAGGAAGCTGCTATAAATGCGAGTGATTGGAGAACATACATGCATTTGCTCCAACTTGTAGCTGAAATTATGAGACAAAAAATGCAGCAACCTCATGTGCAAAATAAAAAACAAATAAGACAACAGAAAAAAGCATTATCTAAATCTAAATGGTATGGTTCTTACCTGATGAACAGTACCATCCACCATGGTAGGAGGCCACGGGCTACTAAAATAATATTTTTTTTTTAAAAGAATTGTTAAAAAATTTATAACTTGAAATGTTGCTAAAAGTTTAATGTGCTGCTGGCTTTTGGCTTTCAAGCTTGGGTTATTGTTGGGGATGTTTGTTTTTCCTTCTAATGAATTAAAGATGTTTCTGTGTAATCCTCCGAGTTCTATTTCAATATGCAGTAACACTTATTCACCCGTTTTCATTGTTTTATAAAAACAAGAGCAGTTGTCTTGCGGAAAGACTGTACTGTGTACTTAGCCAGTATCAATTAAAGTGAAAGAGAGTGGCTCTTTTTGAATTTTTGGGGAAGCTGCGAGGTATGATAGCCAACCCTTAACTTTAACGATGAGATTTCTCAGTAGTGTAACCTCAACTTGGGGTCTTAAAAGAAGTAGGTGATCTTTTGAGACGTACCCACCACTCCAAGGTTTCTCCAGAGAGCCCCTCTTTCCACCTTTGTGCGTTAAAACAAGTTACTTTGTGTGTGAGACCTGCAATGTGTTCTTTGGTTTGTCGGGTCCCAGTTGGGGAAGGTTCGTAAAGCGCAGCCATGAGTATCATCAGTGTGAAGACGACGACCCATAGGGTCACCACCAGGGTGACCACGCACCACCGCGTCTCAAATACGAGCCTCGATGACAAGCCGGCGTGAGTTTTAGTGCCCAAGGCGGACACATGGGCAGTGCATATCGTGTTGAGCTGTTGGACATCTGGCTGTGTAGCGTTGGAGTTGACACTTCACGTGGCATTGTTTTGCATTGTGTTCTTACTCAATGTTCTAACCCTCGTTCAACATTGACCCATCGTGTGTTCGCCAACAAAAGTCTTGTACTAATGGCACGGCATGACGGTTGCTTGAGTTTGAAACTGTGTCACTCTGATTAATGCCTGTTCTTGACTGGAGAGGTGCGAGTTGAGGGAACAAAGCCATTTAGTTATGCTACACTTTTGCAAGTTACTCTTGCTTGTAAAATATGGCATCCTGCATAGTGTTTCACCTGTGTTTGCATCATTGCTAACTGTTCTACTTTTAGTAATTTGACAGACTGCAAAAACATATATTTTGTCTTTTTTTTCTGTAATTAATTTATAGCTGTAGCACTTTTCCAATTTGTATTGTGAGTCCTTCATGCAATGAATTATCAGCTATTTTGTAGCGTAGGGGAGCAAAAGTTTAACGTCACAAGTGTTGGAATGGCAAATGGGTATAACATTGTCCATTCCACTAACATATTGTATAGCAGAGATTTGAGAAATTACCAATCACTACTATTTCGTGGCGAGGTACAACCTGTCGTGAGCTGAGTGGTAATGCAGTGGTCCTGTTTTCTCTCCTCACATATTAGGATATGTGCGTAGGCATGATACAGAAATGTGGTGCATGTTTATGTAAAGTTAGTCCCTGTGTGTCAGTTCTCTACTTACAGGGGTTAAAGTGACTTGAATTTATCTTTGTGTGACAATAACCTTATCTAGGTGCCCTAAATGTCGTAAAATAATATGAAATTTTGATAATGTGTGGCCTTTTTGTCTTTTAAAGAGGTAACCAAACATCACGACACTCCCCTTTTTTAAGATATATCTCAGAAAAAGGGCATGGCCCACTTTCCTGCCCCTTCAAATGCCCTTGTTCCATTTCAAAGACCTTCAGCCTTTTTGCAATTATAGCTTCTTTCTAAATTGAAACCGTTTCACAAGTACTTTAAATCCTTAAGTGTAAGTTCTGAGATAGCATACTGTGATTGAGCATTTATTTGGTATATTTTCAAACATAATAATATTCTCAAGTTAGGTTTCTAGGTATTTACTGTGACTGGTCAGGCTTGAAATTTCAAAATGAAAAATTTTCAATACAAGTTGATCATGCATGCATTTCATGTGGCACAATTTTGTATTTATGAGGCATACTTTAATGGTTTGCTGTTTTTAAAATGTGAGGTCCTTTTATTACTCAGTCAGGCACCTGTAGACATTAGGGGGGAAGGGTCACTGAAGTCCATTTCACTCTTTGTAATGAATACAATAGACCGATCTCACCAAGCATACGCGCATGCGTGACGCCGCCATAACTTTAGTTTACAGAAGGAAAACGGCAGTGCATGATAGGGCTCATGCGGTCTCGTGCTCAACACGTGCAGAGCTCCAGCAAGGTTGTCGCACGCGCAGAAAGACTAAAGTTCCCTCGATGCATTGCGGCAGCAGTGGCGTAGTCAAACTGGCTGGTGAAATCGGTCCATTGTGAGAAAACTCAAGAGCTAGGGGTTTCTTTCAGAAATTCACTGTAATGAGACTTGTTTGACAAAAAAGGCTCTAAAACAAAGAAGGCAAGGGAACTAAAATGTTAGCATCATTCACCTTTTTATTTAAGCATCAGAAGCACTGCTGTTATTACAATGCAGTTAAGTTAACGTCCCGAGAGATGGCCCACCCAAAATCTAAAACAAATCGAAAAAAATTTAGGAGTAAGCTAACTATTAATGTGCAATCAAAAAGAGTTGGCAAAATGCTTGTAGTAGATTCTGCGACCTGCAAAACTTATGATTGTAGGGAGGTGCAATGAACCAATGATGACTCTCCTTCCGAGTCAGCAATATTCACTTATCTCCCTGTCCTGGCTAAAGAACTCTCTGCCGTCGTCACAATTTGGCCAGGGCCCTGCAATGGACCTTTTCCGAGAAGCGTTCTGTGCACGCGTGAGCGCCCGATGCCAAGCGGCGGAAGTCGGAACGAAAAATCGAGGAAATGCGGAAAAGAGGCTGTATATCAGCGAGTAGAACACGTAACTGCAGCATATATATAATTATGTTACACAAAAAAAGAACGTCGACGGAAAGGAAAACACAGCGTTTTGGTGGACACCACGGATGCTCCTCTTTAAAGTCGCGTTGGGCAGGCGTCGCTGCTCAGAGAGCGAAGAAACTGGTAGCGTAGCTCCCATTATCAATTGGCAGCGCAGGTAGGTCACTTCCTCGATTTTTAGTTCGTGCAGCCACCGCCTGGTGCCGTCGGTATGTGAAAAAGGTCCATTACTAGACAGAAGCTAACTTTTTGTATTTTTGATAAAAAATAACAAATCAGTTCAAAAATAGGTATGGGTTATCTTTCAGGGGTGGGGCATCTCTCAGGATGTTAGGTAGTGGGAGCCAGCATGCACTTCGCAAAGCTGCAGGGTAATGCCTGTGCGTTCAACAGAATTGAACCTGAACAATCCTTTTGTTTGTTTTCAAGTTATGACTCTGTCACGATTATTTGCGCCCATTTTAATGAACACCTCCATCAGTACTATACCTGCTGGGCCTGATTCATTGGTTTCTGATGCTGTGAAGTATGTTTCATACCTATAATTCTAATAGCAGCTTTGGGAAGTTAGCATCAACAAATTTCAGTTGTCAGTTGGAAACTCAAAGCCTACCTCATGCTCTCTTTAAAAAATTAATTTTTTCCCCAGGCTTCACATGGCAGAAAACATGGTGAAAGATTTGAAGAAATATGCCGACATGGACATAGACGAGCTCCTGGGAAAGCTCTCCGAAGAAGAGCTCGAGCAGCTCGGCAACATGGTTGACCCAGATGTGAGTGTTGGCCTGCTACACGGCTCGGGGCATTATACCCTATGTGATTGGATGTGTTAAAAATTAACTTGTGAAGAACAGCTCCTTTAATATCTTGGTGCATTGACCTAGATGACCAAGCTTTCAATTCTTTGTTTTTAATACTTGTTGTATGGAGTCATTGTCTGTTAGTTTCTTGAATGCTGAGGAGACTAGATCTATATAAATTTTTATTTATTTATTTATCTTTCTTAGCATACTGCCAGCCATGAGGTCAAGGCAGTTAAGTAGGCATTCTAAAGGTAAAGGCACCCTTAAGTATAAAAATATTCTTACGAAGATGTGCGGCCGGCAGCAAATGACAAAAATGCGTCCATTGAATGAGATAGAAAATATTTTGTGGAAGCCGGGTCATATTCCAGGGTCAGTAAAGCACCTGACCCTGGCACGCCATGGTCAGGTGCTTTACTGCCCCAGCATCGTTGTCGTTACATTTTCCGCTCCTTTAAAGGGAACTACCCGGCAAGGTTGTGGCTAGCACACAGCCTTGCCGGCTTCTGTGCTAGCCACAGCCCTCTTGGACGTCACAATCTGGGCTGGGGAGCTCATCTGACCGCTATTAACACAAACTGGGCTGGGGACAGGGCACGGAACCATCAGTTCATATCTGTCTCACAATCTCCTCAATAGTTCATCTTGTACACGGTGCTTTTAATTCTTCACCACTTTCATTAAAACCCTCGTACTGTATTTACACAAATGTAGGTCGACCTGTTTTTCAATTTTAGAAAATCGGAAGTGGGGGGTTGACTTACAATCGAACCAAAGCATTCCACCGCCGACAAAATGAAACAATTGCGATATTAAGAACACCCCAACTTGTTACGAGTTCAGCCGGCTGTACCAGTAGCATCGCGCTATTCTGTGCCCTCATTTTACTAATTTTTTTTATTTTCTTTTTTTGCAAACAAGTATTATTCATAGCGATTTTCAAATTAACTTGAATGTACGGCAGTGAACAGTGCCTGGCGCGCCCGATTCCCGGGGGTGGCGGCACTTGTAAGAGCCACTCCCCACTCCAGAGGCTGTTGGAACAGCCTCACGGCTTACTTCCCGCAGCTTCTTCTTGTAGTTTTTCGCACGATACACGGTCGTACATCGTTTGATCGACTGTCAAGGTCATGCTGGAGCACCAGCTACGTTTTTGTACTGACATGCGTGATCCGGGCAGTTTAGGCTTTCGGTGCTCGTTTATGACCATTCTTCACCCAGAAGCAACCAACAACTGCACTGTTGAACGCATGTTCGACCCGTCGGAGCGGGTGATGCTCCAGTGGAGTCTGCAATGGCGCAGGATCTTTAACTGTGACAGCAAACGAAGAGGCTTCTGCAGGCCAAAGTCTTGATAGGTGGGGATGCCTTCCAGAGTTGGAGGTCAGGCTTGCAACATAAGCCGCAAAAGTGCACAATCTATCCCTACGCGTGACGTGCAACGCAATCGCCGAGCAAGCATGGAAGGTGCCGTTGATGCTGCCATTTGCGAAGTGCGAGATTTCGTTGGACGACACTGACAACCTGCTTCGAGAACGTAGCAGTGGCAACCACGGAGCTGAAGTCACCAGTGCAGATGAGTCATAGTCTAGTTGCGGACGGAGTAAGAAAGACTGGGAGCAGCTTCAGTTGTCCCACCTCCGGCGTGAACTTTCTAGTTGCGATAACTCCTGGGTATCTCATGCATCTCGTTGCTTATTTTAGTTTCGCAATCTATTAATAGAGCAATGAGTCGCCGATTCGTTGCTGTAATGAGCGCCCAGTTTGCTCAGAAATCGACTCCATTGGGTCTATGGCAGTAAACGGGCACTGACTCCACTGCTACACACTACGAAGCCGAGGGAGATGATTTTCTTCGGCACATTTTTACCGGTCATGAATGCAAGCTTCCCTACGCCCTGCCAGAGACAAAGCGAGCAAGCGAGGAGTGGCAACGCACAATGTCACCAAGGTCGAGGAAGTTCAAGACAGCGCCAACGGTCGCCAAACTAATGCTCATGGTCTTTTGGGACCATAAAGACCGACCCAGTAGTTGAAAACTACATGCCCAAGAAACTCACTGTGAACAGTGCATCACACTGCAACCTGCTTGAGAACCACTTGAAGCCTGCAATCAAGTCAAAGCGTCACGGATTGCTCAGCTCAGGGTCGTTGCTGCAGCACAACAATCCGCGCAATCACATGGCATGTGCGACAACGTAAAAAATTGAAGGACTGCGGTTCGAGTGTATTCTGCACCCACCACACTCGCCAGGCCTCGCACTGAGTGATTTCTACAAGGAGGATAGAAGCGTAGGAGAGGGCATGACGCCAGCTGTGTAGCCTCCACAAGCCATGCTCCCTTGACGCCTCGCCTCTTTCTCATTTTCCTCCTTACTCTCCTCACTTACCACGCCAACGTGACCACATCATGTGACCGTAGCTAGCCTTCATCTAGCTATGGGGTACTAGAATACACCACAGTCTAGCCTTCGATTTGATAAAACCTACCGGACGGAGTGCGCGCAAGCCTGCAAGGAGGCCTCCTACAATCAACCATCCATCTCACACGTGACATGTCACGCGCACCAATAGCCAGAGAGATGTACGGTCACGTTGGCCACAACATTGTTTAAACTTTTTATGACTAGGCTTCACCAATATTGCAACGTGCCCTCTCCTAGTACTTCTAACCTCCTTGGATTTTTACCTATTAGGACCCCTCAAAAAACTTTTGGGGAGAGAAGTTTTTAATACAGATGATTACCTGAAAGTGGCAGTGCATTGCTGGCTCCGGAGTCAGTCACACAATTTTTCTTCCTGCAGCATCTATGCCAGGGGTGGCCTGGCTGACCCGGCCCAAGAGCCGCAAACAAAACCACGAAACTTCCAAGAGCCGCGGGGGGGGGGAGCAAACTTTTGTCCGGAGCAATAAACGAAGCTCGTTTATTGCTCTCTTTACTTTTAATCTATCTGAGTCAAAATCAGTCCAACTGTACGTAAGGTAGCAGTAGCACAAGACTACCAAACCGCAACCTGTCTTTTGATTTAAAACGCGTTCCATATCTCTTTCTGGAGAAGTGCTCGTGTGACCGGGAGGGAGGAGGGGGAGGGGGGGGGGGGTAGGGTAGGCAAGGGGATGGAACCTCGAGCCGCACTTTAACACACGAAGAGCCGCATGCGGCTCGCGAGCCGCAACTTGGCCACCCCTGATCTATGCATTGGTGAAGCGTTGGGGCAGATCTGTCGAGCGAGGAGGTGACTATGTTGAAAAGTAATAAAGGGTTTTTCATGATATTGTCACGGGGGTGACCAAAAACAATAAATAAACAAGAAGAAATAAACGTTTAATGTGGCGAACTCGTGCCAAAAATAAAAGGGTACAAAAGGTAATAACAGAGCGTCGCGGGCGTCGAAGTCGGCGTGACAGCAGGGTCGAACGCTGGGGCGAAACTGAATGCAGATCGCCACGCGGAGCCCCTTATGTACACGTGTGGGCTTCTGGAATAATCGGCCTAGAAGGTTCGGCGTGTAGAACATTCCGACCTCGAACAAGCCAACATGGTTCTCGAATTTACCAGAACATTACTTTACAGAGTCAACAAAAATGTGCCTCTGCGGCCAGGAATCGAACCCTGGCTTTCAGCATGGAAAGCGAGCGCGATAACCGTTAGGCCACGCGCGCGCTGCCTACTTGGCCAGCTGCACGCGCGGCAATATCTATACTACCACGCTAATAAAAAAACATTGTGGTTACTTTTTGACTCTTCCTTGTAATAAACAGGAATATTGGCAGCTACTAACATAGGTACATTGTGAATAATGGAAACTTAACTAATCTTCTGGTTTGTGAAAGAGAAAGTGAAAGCTGTGGAAGTTGTTTGAAGAACTAGAAGTGTTGACATCATGTATTGTGTGCATCTGTGATTTCAGGACTCTCTCATACCGCCATCAGAGCGATGTCGAACGCAGACCAAGAAAAAACCGACGGGTCCCCTCAACAGGCGGCATTTACTTCAGTTCCTGGAGAAGTTTGCACGTGAACAGGAAGACTGGCCTGAGGCAAAAACATTCCAGTCCGGGACAAAGCGAGGTGAACTGCCAGGAAATCTTGTCCCCACTTTCTTTGTTCACTGTTGACTTTTCTGCAGGCACCTCTTGCTGGAACCTTGTTTTCACACCTATCTCTCCTCGTTTCTAGTAATTGTGGTGTGAGGCTGATGCTGGCAAGATCAACACTTCTACGAACTGTATTTGCACAAATATAAGGCGAGCTTTTCCTCGAAATTACGTGCTCCCAAAACACACCTCGCATTATATTTGAAATTGAGCTCGGCCATGAGACACGTGAGTTGGGAGGAAGCCATCCTTCCGACTGAATGCAGGAGATTGGGTGCAATAAAAAGGAATGGACGTGTGGGGAGGAAAATTATATTAGTTCTTGTGCCACGTAGGGTTGCCACCTTACCTCAAAGAAAAAAACCGGCCATGGGGGTGGTGATTATGTGGAATTGAGCTGGAAAAATGGAAATTGCAGTGTTGACAGACGAATGCAAATCCAATTTACTTTGATACAAACTTCCTAAAAAGAAATCAATTAACATAGATATAATACTGTTGAGACCGGTTATAACGAAGTATGTTACAACAAAATAGCCGCTACAGCGAAGCGATGACGATTTCCCATTGCCTTTCGCACTTCGTTATAACCGAAGTCGGTTATAACGAAATAGCGGATATAGCGAAGTGATTTCCTATTCCCGTTGACTTCGTTATAACCGGTCTCAACAGTATTGCAATAGCATACCATATTTTCCGGTCTATAAGTCGCACCTTTGTATAAGTTGCACCCCCCTAAAAATGGTTGTTTTCATGAAAAAGTTGGTACACAAGTCGCACCTTTGTACAAGTCACTTTTTGTACAGTCGGTGCGGCATTGCTAATCCCGTGTTACGTGTATTGCGATCGCGACACATACGGAAGCGGGAGCCAATTTTGTCCATGAATCAAACGAGAAAAATAACTGGCGCGGCAAATGCGGTTCGATACGCCGGCGCTCGCGTTTACAAGCCACTGATGTTGCCGGGCACGGATTACGAGCGAAAGCCGACCCTCGGTAAGTGAAGGCTACTCCTGACGGGTTCAGACTCGTTACGATGTAGCTGTATAATAAATATACTATTGAAAATAAGACGCAAGTAGATGCATGTTAAAAAAATTAAGAACAGACCCACCTGCGGTTGAACTGTGCAATGTCAACTGTGCTCCAGTTTATTGTATCCATTCTGTTCCTTAGGGTTAAACCAAACCATCAAAGTCCTCTTCCTCCGAGTCGGTAGGAATGGTTCAGCGATCTCGGGGTCTAGCGTGGTTGGTGTGTCTTCAGCGTCGTCCTCAGACTCACTGCTGATGCTTGCTTTGTCGGCGTCGCTCCCAGGCACAGAATCAATGAGGCCGGCTTTCTTGAAGCCGACTACCACCGTGCCCATGGAAACAGAATTCCAAGCCTCTTCGACCCATTTGGCCACCTCGCCAAAAAACGCGTGTCTCATGCGTCCCATTTTGGTGAAGCTATAATCTCTTTCGGTCATCCACGTCTCCCATATACATCTCAGAACAGCTTTGAAACTGCGGTTGACGGAAATGTCCAGTGGCTGAAGCACCTTGGTCATATCGCCTGGGATGATCGTTGGAACACAGTTCTTCGATTTGATCTTTTTCTTAATCAAATCGGTTAAATGGGCCCTCATGCTGTCCATTACCAAAAGGCCCTTGTGTGTGTGAAAAAATCCACCAGGTCGCTGGGAAAAGCATCTGTCTAGCCACACACCCATCATTTCTTCATCCATCCACCCTTTGATGTTGCACTGTACGATGACTCCGGGCAGAAACGGATCCTTTGGCACTGAATGAATGAATTTGGAGTTTTCTGGCGCAGCAGCAACATAGGCCATAGTGCGCCATCCTTTGGCACTGTTTTTCTTTTGAATATTAGCATTGGCAGGAGTTTCGTCCCGTCGGTGCAGCAAGCCAGTACCACAGTAAAATGGGACTTCTCATGGACGGTCGTCCGGACCGTAACGGTCTTCTCGCCTTTTTCGTTCATGCTTCTTCCCATAGGGATTTCAAATGTCAATGGAACTTCATCCACAATCACAATGTTACAAGTAGCTACATCGTGCTCCTGAATTTCCTTCAGCACAAATTCCCGAAAGCTGTCGAGCTTCTGCTGAAAATCATCCGGCAGTCTTTGGCGCATTGTTGTTCGGGCCATGATGAATAGGTGGTTGCGTCTCAAAAAACGAAGACACCAAGACGGGCCGCCTGTAAAGTTGACCAAGTTCATGCCTTTCGCAATTGTCACGGCTTTCAGGCGCACTTGCACTGTCGAAAGTCCCCGGCCTTCGGCTCGCTGTTCCAATATCCACGTACGAAGACGATCCTCAAGCTGCGGCCAGCGCACCTTTTTACCACGATCAGCTTTCTTGGTTCCTTTCATTGAACGCAGCAAGTTCCCGGCTTTCCGCCAGTTCCTGACGATTTTTTCATTCACATTGAATTCTCGCCCGGCAGCCCGGTTCCATTTTCGGTGGCATATGCAACAACGCTAAGCTTGAACTTTGCTGTGTAGCTTTTTTGCGTTCTGGACGGTGCCATGTTGCTGCGGTGCTCGACACAGGTGAACACACAGTAGGCACGTTCCAGGATGGCGGGGCACAAAGAAAGAAAAGCAGATATGGCAACCGGAAGTTGACGCCCGAAACACCGGGACGCAGGACGCCGGGAACTTTGTGGCCCCCAACGGTGGCCGCACTCCTTTCGGATCCGTGCAGACTCCGAAACGCTCGGACTGCTGGGACTGAGAAAAGTTGTACGTCAAGGGTAGCGTTTCCTGATCCTTTTTGTTTAAAAAGAGTCGCGCGTCAGCGCCTGAGTAGTGAGAGATTCCATCGTCGACGTCGGTGGAATCTCATCCGTCGACGTCCACCGTCAACGTCGACGGACGAGATGCACGAGATTCCACCGTCGACGCATATAAATCGCACCGCTGTATAAGGTGCACCGCCAGAAATTTTTGAAAAAAACTGCGACTTGTACATTGGAAAATACGGTATGTAAGTACACGAATACACAACACTGAATTCAATGACATGCATATATAAATACATAGTAGTATTTAGTCAAAAGTAAAGTTCCGGTAAACAATCCTGCACCAGGGATGAGAATGCCCTCAAGCACTTGACAAGCCGTTTCTATTCTGCACTGCTTCTGTTGCTTTGGCACACACACAGGCTACAATTTCGCTAATGATGATAGCCTTTTCTAGAGATAGCTGGCGCATGTTTCAGCCTTATCCCCGTGTTCAGGCAAGCACTCCAGAAAGTGGCAGAAAAAAAAATGTAAAAAAACGAAGGAGTTTTAATGCACTGAAGCTAATAAATTCTTTTTTAGTATCATATGGACGTTTGTGGCTGAAAAGAAAACAAACGAAAAAGCGGGGAAGAAAGTGGAAGCTCCATGGCCGCCTGCCTTTGTGGACGGGAAATGGCACCATGCGTGTCTGTCAGGATGCCGACAATTGTTAAAACTCATAAAACCATCCCCCTCCCCTGTGTAGTAGGGGCATGTTTCCCGCATCCCTGCAGGCACCGGCTTTTTGCATTCTCCCATTTTCCTCTCATTTGCCCGCTTGCTGCTTTAAAGATATTGAATGATACAGCTGTTTCTCAAGTGAGATCACTCATGTGCTCTCTTTACTTGGGAGTCCTAAAGGTTTTGTGTACTTTGCATAAAAGAAAATTAGATGACAAGCACTTCTTTGCTACTTTTTGCGTTGACAGTCTAAAACAGGGGTTGCCCCCCCCCCCCCCCCCCCCCCTTCGGCCCGCTCTGTCTCCGGTTCGCAGTGATTAGGCCCGCTGCAACGAAAAGGTTGTTGGCCGTCTTGGTTAAAGACCAATCAGTTGGCAACCCTAGTGTCATGTAAAGGGAGGAAAAGAATGTTGAAAGCATTCTTTGTTGTTTTCATGTTTCTACACGCACGCGGCCGCAATCAAGCGCGTGTGGGACGCCAGCCAGTTCAAGCCAGGTCAATTGCAGACACGAGCTTAGCCAAGACGCCAGCCGTGCTTACGCAATCATGATACATGAGTTGCTCATTTAAGCAGAGGGACTGCAGCAAAGGCAAAAGTGATCTTATTGCCTCCAGCATGCTTTATTCTATTTATGCTTTTTTAAGTCTGCTCGAGAGTGTTCTGTCATTTGTATGCTGGTGCTTCTGCTTCATGCACTTCGTAAAACAGCCGTCTTGACACAGTGTGCCGTGGTTCAAGAGCTTGAGGTCAAAGAGCTCACCCGACGACTTAAGGACAAAGAGCTCACACCGAAGAAAAAGATACCACGAGACAAGCATATCTCCAAAGTCGCAACAGTTAGAGCGAGCTGGGCAAGGACGACAAGTGCAGTCAAAACATACTCATTCTCGATTTAAATTCCCTTTTCACTGCTGCTATGCCCTCGAGTTGTGGTGACTTTAAGTTTGCATTATAATAGTTATAATATTTTTTTTCTTTTTAGGGGCTTCAAAACCTGTTCTCTCGTCACATTCATGGTCGTGTTATGTTTGTGCAAATACGGTGCTACATCCTTCCAAGCTAGCCGAAATCGTCGGGCAGCACGTTAGAACCAGAGCCGTCTTGGATGTTTAGCCTGAGGTTGTGGCAAGAGAATGATGTGAACACAAAACAAATGTTCCAGAGGTTAGATGTTCGCATGCTTCCATAATACCTGACATAAGTTTAGATGGTCATGTTTGTAGAACCTTTTGCAGTTACCTAGTTCAGATTTTCGAATTTGAGTGGCACCTCTGTTCCAAGATTTTGACTAATATCGTCCATTGTCCCATGGTGCACACTCGCATGTTCACATTCAGTCTTCTGGATTACAAATGGGCACTAATGTTGGGGTACCGGTTTGCAAATACTACCGAAAAATACAGACATTTTTTAACGCTGGAGAGTGGGGAAACAGGAAAACACGAATCTCCAAACACACCTGAGGTTTATTTCACAAAACAGGATCTTAAATATTCAACCAAAACAAAGGACCCAAATAGTCCAAGAGAAGACATGGAAGACAATGTTGACGTCACGCATACTCCACCAGGATACACATCCACCCCCAAGCCGAGACTCCACAACAAGGAGATGGTAGATTGCACCGTGATACGAATAAGAACAACTGAAAACAGAGTCAAGGTGAACAACCAAACGTCCACCAAGCAACAAGAGGAAAGAGGTCAATCAACTACTAACAGAACCGCAAATAGACAACCGTGACAAAAACCCAAACAGATTTTTAAAAAAGGAAGATGCATAGGGCAACGTTGACAACACAGATTCCCCACTCTCCACGGTTTAAGAATGGCTATTCTTTCCAACTCACCTGCACCCTTGCATTAATACTCGTGAGAAACAGTTTTCTGAAAACCGACAGCATTAATTTAAAGGAAGGCCTTAAATCACTAAATTCACCTTCTTGTTTCTAAATTATGGTAATAGTCAAAAGGGTTTGATTCTGCCCAAAACATAAACCTAAATGTATGTTGTCCCTAATACAGGGTGTTTCAGTGAAGGCTTTTAAAAAATCTCTGAAAATAGGGCGGTTGAGAAAAAAAAGAAGCTCTTTCCGAAAACAAACTTCCAGTCACGGCGGACGTCAGGAATTGCAAAAACTTACTAAGCAAAATAATTAACTAAAACTAATTAACTTCTAATTCGTGAAAATAAACATATTGTTCCAATGAGATACTGCTAAGTATCATGGAAATCCACTAAATCAACTCATTTTACAAAGATATAAGGCAGGGGCAGCATTTCGTACCGTTCTGAAAAACACTAGTAAGTTCAAACGCGTCTCTAGGTTTCAATTTCCTATCGGAGCACATCTTTGCGCCAGCGTTCCTGCTCTCCAGTGGCCGAGACACGCAGCACGTGTGCGCCATAGTTCCCTCCATCCTACGAAAGAGGCGAGGCAGTGGCTTTGCACCTCGGCCACAAGGGAGCAGGCCTGCTGGAGCAAAGATGTGCTCCTGTAAGAAACCGAAACCTAGAAATGCTCCCAAATTGAGTGTTTTTTTCGGAATGCTGTCAAATGCTGCCCCTGCATTAAATCTTTCTAAAATGAGTTGATTTAGTGGTTTTCGTAGATGCTTAGCAAATTTCTCATTTAAATCATATGTTTAGTTTCACGAATTAAAAGGTTAGTTAGTAAAGTTTAGTTAATTAATTAGCTAATTAGTATGTTTTGTATCCTTGACCATTCTCGCTTTGTTTGACAGTTTGTTCCCGTAAAGAGTCTTTTCTCACAACCAATCATTTTTAGGAATTTTTAAAAGGCTTTGCTGAACACCATGTAAATCACATCACTCAAAGCACCATCGCTAATAAGAATTTGGAAGTTACAGTGATATTGGACATCTTGCCACAAATCGTGTGGAGCACAGGAAGTTTATTTCTATTGTTCCTGTCTGTCTTTATCAGGGCTATGAAATGAACAATTGATTGAGGAACAGATATATAGACCATAAGCGTAATAATAACAATAAAGAAACCTCTGCAACAAGCTTGGCATTTACACACTGGAATGAATATGCAGCTTTGCGAATTGCCTTCATTGGGACAAGCACATGTTTGTACAGGTTGTCTTTTTGTCACTAGTACATCATTACCATGGCATGCCACAAATTATTTTATTGTATCATATTCTGTCTCATGCAATAATTTTTCCAGGAAGGTAAGTTGTCTTTGAAAGATAGTTTTCTGTTCCGTTTCCTGCTTGCTGAAGAAACAGCAAAGGTTATCCAATGCTAGAAGTTGCAGTATCTGGATTTGAATTAGTATTTGTGTAATGAGCTGGACAATTTGAGTTTTGATAACTATTGTCATTATTTTAATGGCTTCAAATTAGGGCTGGGCATTGATTAGAAATATAAAGCCAATTAATTGGCATTCTTTAATCGATTAATTGGTCGCATTAATGCCAGGCATAATAGCACCAAAAGGGCAAAAGCGCAGTTTTACTTATGTTTTGTTGCTCTTGATAAACTTCAATGCGCATTTTCAGCTGGTGATAAATGTGTGCAGTTGAGTACAGTCGAAAGATACTTGCAGATTATCATTCCTGCGGCAAAGTCATAGCAGAAAGAGTTTTCTGGTATTCTTCGGCATGATTATGAACGATCATGTTTCTTGCTTCTTCCCAACCTTCCATGAAGTGGCGCTGACTGTCTTTTTAGGACATTATGGAAATTGCTTTTATGTGGAAATTCTTCTACGACTTGACAAGCTTGCATTCCTAAGCTCTCTACCTAGAAAGTGCCTGCATGCCTTACTATAGCTTGCCATTTGGTGGTACCCACGACAGTTCGTCCAGTGTTTCACATGTCACCTAGTGTGTCAGATGTGTCGGGGGATGCTCCCTAGTGCGAAAAGGCGAGTTGGCCGTTACCATTGAAAGTAATTTTAGGTGACCGTCCCTCCCTGTGTCTCCCTTGTTGCAGGCAAGGTGTTTGTACCCCGCATCCAGCCCAAGCCCAAGCAGGACGACGACGTTGAGGTGGAGCTGGACATTGGAGAGGACTACGAGAAGGCCCTCAACACGGCCAACGAGTCTGAGCTTGTCGACCTGGCGGGTCAGTGCAGTGCTCGGACAGGGCAGAAAAGGGTCCTCGGGGCGCCAGGAAGTGGTAGCATGGTGCTCACTAAACTTGCATGGAACGGGCAAACTGTCTTACATCGTGGAAGTGCTATCCTGGCAGCAGCCAGAAACAGTCTTTTTGATGTAGTTCTTGGTAAAACAGCCCAAGCAGGGGACTTGCTCAAGGTTGAAATCGCAGTTGGACTGAGGACACTACAGCGATTTTGCTGACCAGTCTATCTACTCTTATTTCCACCCTTTCGTACGAAGGTGCATAGGTGACTGCCGAAATCGTCAGTGATTGTATAGCTTAGTCGGTAGGTATTTCGTATTTGTACGGAATAAACCATGCAACAACTGATGATTTCGAAAGTCATATATTCATGGTTGTGCAGGCAAGCAGCAATAAACATAGACTGCCCCACTAGCAAAATTGCTGCAGTGTTTACAGTCCAGCCATGCTGTCGGCCTTGGGCTGCAGCCAGAATAGCGCTCCCATGAGATAAGACGCAGCTCGCTTGTTCCATTACCGTATTTGCTCGAGTAATAGCCATGCTGTTTATGAACAAAGCCTGTGGGTCTGCTTTCCCACGGAGCGCAGGAATATGGAATCGCCACGATCGGCAGAAAAATGGCAGCTGTTTACGAGACAGAAACAATGCCTTCGCGCGAAAATTCTATCTACTCTGATCACGATTTTATGGAGAATCATGTTCTCAACCTTGTTATTTGCTGCATTTTTTATGCAGAGCGAAATGATTGGTTGTATGTGTGTTCTGCAGGAATGTAGATGCAAGGGCCTTGTTCATAAGAAGTGTGGCTATTACTTGAGCAAATACGGTAAGTTTGTAAGTACTTACACTGGGCAACACAGTTATAGCACAAACACAACATTGGCATTTTTTGGGGGCTATTTACTCTGACAAGATATTGACAAGTATTAAATTTTAGCTTATAATTTAGTGTCCCAAATGAGTGCTTTCATCAGCCTAGTAATTTTTACAGTGGCATTGCAATGCTAAGAGAAATGCAAAAAAACCTGGTGATTGCTTTTTCATTCTAATGGCTGTGTTTGCAATTCTGAGTTCTTCCCTGGATATTTTCTCTATAGTATGGTTTTAGAGTGTCTATCATCAAGGGCATAAAAACCTGACATACCTGTAAGCTCAGCAAAAATGCTTTTGAAGCAATGAAGATTTGTGAAAATATTGTGACTTTTTAAGTAGCACACTTTCTCTTGCCCGCATCTGCTCAGGACCTCAGCTCGCTTTCCAAGAAAACGCTGAAATGTAGCAGATATTGCGCCGGTATTTCAACCAAAAACACAACCATACATACTTTAAAACGAGTTAGTATGCGATTACCAGATGTCAAAACAATACCAACAGTGGTTTGGATGTGTCCGAGATGCTCTAACGTAAAAATCATTGCATCAAAACAAAAGAAATAAAATTACAATGACAGTTACAACAATATGAGCTTCCCAAGTAGAGGGAGCGATCAAAACTCTTGTTTTGAGAAAATTTGTGTAAAAGCTGTAATTGCATTTACCATACGGATTTCAATTTGCAAGATAAGGGGGTTTATTTTGAAAAAGTTGCTCTTTATGATCTTTTCTTTTTCAATTTACAAGCTGGGAAGGTTCTGCTGCGCACAGAACAATATTTAAGAGCTCGCTAAGTCTAAATTCTGAATTCTATGCAGTCGTAATTAATGCTAATTAAAAATTATGGTGACAATTCAGAAAGGTTTTTTTTTTTTTCTACATTTTTTTTAAGGTGTTTGTTTTCCAGAATTTGTTATGAGTTGATCCCTACCTCCCAACTTTATTGAAGGTAGCTGAAGCTTCATTTTATGCTTGACTGTTCCCAGACATGCCTTGTTAATGTGCATTGTACATGCTCAGTAATGTTCATGCAAGCTTACGAAAATCTATCATGTATGATAATTTGCTCTATCCAGCAATCCTTGGCCTGCACAGCATGCTGAGTCAAGATCAGTACCATGATTCCCTGACCAACCGGAGGCAAAGACCAGGGACTGGATTTGAATGTGAGTCATTGTTTAATTAATGAATGCATTTTTACTAGTTTACACATGGGATAAGTAGTAGTCATATACTAATTGTTTACCTCATCATTTATTCTGCAGTATGTTGGACTGGTCTGTGGGTCTTTGCTGTATCATTGCATTGCATTTGATTGGCAAGATTTGGTACAACGAGCATGTTAAAAAAAATCGCCCCTTTTGAAGTTAAGGGGGGACACTGACTAGAGATTTAACTTCTGAACTACTTAAGTGATTGGAATGAAATTTGCAGGGGAGATTTCACATAAGGTGGTAGGTGTATTGTGAAAACTTTTGGCTCTCTAGGACAATTTTACATGCCTGCATAATATGATGTGTCACTCTTTGTTAAGAAATCGATGATATGCAAATGAAGCTATTAAGCATCATTTTGACTGCTTGAATACAAAGTGGAGGATGTGGAACTTCGGGTTATCTAGATGTTATAACTCTAATGTAAATATTTCAGGAAGAGTGATTACCTCAAAATATGAGATGCATGCCTGCCCTATGTCAATTTTTGCAAACATAGATTTTTCTCAATGAGGACCTAAGGTTAAAACAAAATAAAGTAGATAGCCCAATTCCCCAGTAAATTTCAGTACAGAAACATCTTGATTGTGGTATCAGAATATATTTACCTTGGAACAAAAGATTCCTTCGAATGAAACTTGCAGCAAAAAGTGGAACTGAGAAAAATGCATCTGAACATTGAACTCCTTCACACATTGTTACTGCTTCACAATGTGCTGAAAAAAATTTATATCAACATAACTATTTGGCATATGGTTATCAAATTTGGTTTAAGGGTGTATAATTAATTTCTAAAACCGAAAAATACAAAATTAAAAAATAAATTAAAATTTTTTTTTTTTAATTTAGGTTTATGTTTTTTCTAAAGCAAGTAGGCAGGCAAGCCGGTTAAAGATAGACATGGTAACCTTTTTGTTTCTTAGACTAGTGTCCTCAGGTCAGCCACCGGCCAGGAAGAAGGGGTGTGGTTGAAGTGTTTACCTTGTTGGTTCCTCTGTGTTGGTTGCTTGCCTTTAGAGAGCATGTTTCTTGCACGGCTTCCTTATGTCCCTACAAACTAGTGTCCTCTTGTCAGTTGCCGGGGTCTTTTGTTCTTTGGGTCTTGCCTGCCTTAATTGTGTGACCTCAGGCAGCGTGTGTCTCCTTGCGTGGCTGTGGACCTGTAAATATGGTCTGGAAATTAAATCTTTCGCTGCGTTTGGAGTTTCGTTTCTTTCTGTCCTTTTTTGTGCCCTCGCTTCAGAGTTACCATGTCTACCCCTTTTTATGCTTTCTCGTTGATTTATGTGCCAACAAGTATACAGTCATCCAAACTAGGGCTTCCTGCATTTGCACCTTGAAACTCAGGAGTCACATTCGTCTTGTGAAGGTTTTATTAGAATACTGTGGCTAGTCAGTCTACTTTAAAATATGACGTCCTATGTCCCAACTGTAGGAGCACAATGTAGTCAATGCCGAGGGGCTTGGAAGACAAGGCGCTTGCATCATATAAAAGGAAGCGCAGAAAATCCAGGATCTTCCTTGTTGCTCTTTGATTCACTCATTGTCATTATTTTCTCGATTGGTTCATTAATTCTGCTCTCACATGTGCACCAGTTGACCGACATAACATGATGCTGTCAGTTTAGTGGTTGGTTTCTGTTTGTTTTCTTTATGTCGGTACCATCTCTCTTTCTGCATGTAATGTGCTCCTACGACACTTTTCTTTGTTTGCAGAAATTGCCTGCATTAATCTGTAGACAGTGACATACTTGCAGTTGAGCGGGGCCAGGATAGCATGTACCACGAGTCTAGTACCAATGTACTAGCACCTTTGTGGGTCGGACTTGAAGTGCCCTTTCTTTGCCCAGTTTCCAAATCGGGAATGTGGTAATGCGAGTTGGATGATGAATATTTGGAAGCGCATTGCTTTTTTCACAAATTTTGAAAGTTCCTTTAGTCCCTAGCTACGATAACCTTCAATACTACAGGTGCAGCATGACCCCTAAACCAGTAACTCAATAAAGGAAATGAACAAATTTCTTTGATTAGCCAACCAATCGTGATGGTTATCTTCCCATTGCAGATTTGCCATGTCCCGTAAGTTTGCAGTAAATATGGTAGTATCCATGTAGCTGCCATCATCTTAAAAAAAACAAGAGTCTTGTATACATAATAGACTATTGATTTAGACTATTTACTCAATAGTAAAAGCAGTGAATTTCCTTCAAAGAAGCAGTGCAACAATTTTAATGTTAAAAGAATTTGCAGCTTGTATTTTGTACATTGTTTACCTCGGCACAAGTGCGAAAAAACGCGCCACCTTCCCCTTAATCACAGCAATTCTACTGTGTAATTGCAAAAGAAAAATTTCCAATCTGCAGCCACTTGTGGTATTTAGGGAAACTAGGGTGTCACGTTGGGAGTACACATGTTTTTGTGGTGCCATTTGTCAGAAGTCAACAAAGCCATTCCCTCTGTGCGACTACCCCCCTCCCCACCGTTTTCATAGCAAACCACTTATTGTCCTGGTCGTTCGTCGCAACCTTCATTGATACTAAGCAGGTGCAGTGCTCTGTTGTAGCCGAATCAAACCATGAAAAGTTAACTATTGTAGAGGGAGGGCCCTGATGGTGCAAGTGTAGGGGTACCCTGACCTTCGATTTGTTTGATTATTTTTATAAAAGCTAGCGCATGCGTGAAAAAAGTATTTGGTTACTGGCGACATAGACCGATTCCCGCAAATAATTGGCCAAAGTACAAAAATTGTTGCACCGCCCCTTTGAACACACGGTATTGTAAGTTAGCGAAAAGGAGGCGTGGTGACATCTGGGGGGACTACACGCATTTGCAAGTGGATTCCCGGCTTAACCTCAGACCATGCGCCGAGGTGAGACACACCTGCACTCCAGCCAGGGTGTTTGCTTGTCAACGTTGCCAGGTGTCTCTTGCCGAAGCAAATGCCACTGAACATCTAGGGACTGTCAAAAAGTACTTAAAAGCACGCAGGTGTTGTCTTCGGCCACCAAAGCGCAGAATACAAATGTATCAAATGACCGAGCCAATAGCAAATACATGCTTTAAGCAACTTAATTTTTGCGAGGACCTAAAACATGATGGTGCCCATAGAACAAAGCAGATACTGGTCTATACAACTTGTATAGACCAGTATCTGCTTTGTTCTATGGGCACCATCATGTTTGTTCATACTGATGCCATGACACAGTAGGGGGCTGCACGTTTTGCAACATTCCACTTTTTTTAGAAACCTTTGCACATGTCGTAGTGTAAGAGTGCCAGAAATACTTACTGTAGAATTCTGTACATCCACCCATTCCATACTAAGTGCTCACCTCCAAAACTTGAAACATCTGAAAAAATATGCACAGTACATATATCGTATGTAAATTTGATGACCTGACATGTGCCCATCCCCTATTTTTTCGCAATTATCTTCAAATTTTGAGTGGGCGCTTGCTTGGTTTTTTACTGTAGTCACCAAGCTCCAAGAAGGCTGATGCCAAGACTGCTGTAAAAAGCAAAAATCTTGTTTTATGCGCAGCCCCTCTCTTCACAAAGCCTGTGCTTGAGGGTATTATTTTCCATTTTTATCGCAGGGGGCTAGGATTTGGGACATTGGTATATAATATCACGAAAAAGAGATCCCGTGAATATGTTTCCTATCGTAACAAATACAAAGCATACCACCCTGATTCATGAAATTTCGTGCCCGAAAAATATTCCTAAAAACCACACTTCTCCGAGTTCGTGAAATACAGTCTAAGCTCGTTACAACAGACCTTGATTTTGACCAAGATTTTGGTCTGTTGTAAAAGGAGTATATTTTATGCAGATATGAAGTTGATTCAATGGTATGTAGAGGAAAACCAACCGAACTTCACAAATCGGTATGTTATATCCAAATATCTGTTGTAACCAGGTCTGTGGTAATGAGCTTAGACTGTATTGAGTCCACGAAAATAAAGTTGTTTACAGTGGTCTCAAAAGTGCATATAGGAATGCTCGAGTAAGTCCTTCCGCACCCTCGTTATCAGCAGCTGGTGTTCTTCCGTGATGTGCAAAGAGTATGCTACTGCGGTGCATGTCATGCTGACGTCTGGGGATCTATGCGTACTGGTTACCCGCAAGAGGTACAAGACGGGCAAGACATAAAAAAGAACACACCTTTCTCCGAGCAAGCCCGGCAATCAAGAGAAGCCCAGCCCTCGCATGCCTTTGGCCACACCAACGTCTTTTTCTTCCACATGCTCCCCATCACAGAACTCATCATGGCTGCTGCCCTTTCTGGTCGGTGCACATTCGCACACTCCAGCATGGCGGAAACGTTAGGCTACTCTGCATCGCTCAAATTGGTGGGGCTCGGGATCCTCTCTTGCAAACAAGTATAGTGAGACTGTCGTAATGCTTAACAAACAAGCCCATGGCCATTTATGAACAAAGCCCGAGATTGAGCGATGCAGGAAAGGGAACGAACAGATCGTAATCACGTTGTGTTTCCCTTCAATCCCTCCAGTTTTGATTTTTTTTTTTTACTTTCTTTTTAAAGATATTGTTTAGTTTTCTTACCCAAGAGACAACTAAAAGCTGACCTGTGGCTGTTTATTTGTCTTTCAGCCCTTGTGAAGGCCTCCATGCCCAAGCCCCTCCCCATGGAGCCTGACAATGACACCAACACTAAGCAGACGTCAGACAAGGTTGCCGACAATGACCCTTCTCTCAAGACTCTCAACTGGAACAATATCAAGGTGGGCAACTTGGACAGCTTTTATGGTGAAAGTGGGCGTAGCGGAGGGAGAACGTCGGGTGGCCTATTTTGCACGCCAGTTTTAGCGATGGTGCCCTGCCGAGAATGCCGGTAATGACTGATGTTCATGTTTCCAATCTTTAACCCTGTCCTAAAGGCCCGCTCACAACCCCAACATCGACATTTTTTTCATTAGTGCAAGCAACTGAAAACGATTCCTAGGAATCATCCTAAAAATATCAAGCTTGAGAACTGCGTATTTGCAGAGAAAAAAAAATGTTTTCAGAAAGCTCGATTTGAAACACCCGCCCGAATTTCTGATATAGTTAGCGAAATGGTGCACTCCTTGACTTTTGGATGACTTCAAACCTTCAAACAGGAAGTGTTTTTTAACTTTCACTCTTTCCCTCGCATCGCTCATGGGCACGAGCGCGTGCCATCCGGTCAACCGTGAGAGTATTTTGCGAGTCCTTTTTTCGCACGCAGACGACTCGTCACTTTTCAGTGCCTCTTTTTTTTTTTAGCAGTGTTAGTCGGTCTGAAACGATTTTTAAGAAGGTGAGGAAGAAAATGACGTGAAGCAGACCTTAGTTAGCGACGTGAGGGGCAACGTTGCAAACGTGCTGCATGAGAGATAATCTGAGAGGTTACCTGGCAACAAAACGACTCGTCCAAGCTGTCCATGACTTCCCCATCATGCGCACCCCTCTCGACGCCCTCAGCACAGCCGCCAGGTGCCACCTTATTGAGAGTATGAAGAAAAAGCTAGGCGACGGTCGATGTTTATCATTAACAGATCCGGTCTGATTGTTATTTTTCGACGACAGCATTGTAGTGCCTTTACAGCTGTTGTAAAAAAAAAAGTTTTGTATGAATGACAATAATAATTATTACAGACATGCAGCTTGCGACAGCTCTCAACGTTTTCAAAAATGCCTTCACTAATTACATCACTAAAAAAAAAAGCAAGGAGGAGTGCAAATTAGGGGAGGAGGACACAAACTTCAACAAACTCTTTCATTTGCCAGAATTTCCTTTTTGGTGTTTTGCCACACATTTTTGAAGTGTTTGAGATTGTTAAAAAGATATTGATCTTGGGATTTTCTGTGGCCTTTTAATGAAGAGCAAAGTCATCATAACTGTTTATTGCTTCTATGATTATTTAAAGACATCATGAAATGAATTTGTATTTTTACTCCATTTAGTTGGTGCAGCTCGGACTTCACAGGATGACATACATTTCTCAATCGTAGTAGGAGGTTGAATAATTGCTAGGTCAGCAACCCTTGTGACGTTCAGAGAACAGTGATGTGCCCCCATGTGTTGTCCACTGGTAGCAACAACAATGTTGATACTAGGGGACAACTTTGTTACTGCGTTGTCTATGCCCTATTGGCGACTGCAGCAAAATCAACGGCATCTAGCTGCTAGAACAGAAAGCTGTGTCGGCAGGTTCGATCGCCAGCCTTCTTGAGCGAATAAGATATTCACAGCGTCGAGCGATGTAAAAAAGAAGCCGTGAAAGCAGGTTCGAAGACATGCAATTAAAATTCCCAATAGTGACTGTCCTAATTAATAATGTGCTTTCACCTATGTGGGTGGAAAATGCCGAAATATAAAAAATACACATTCAAAAGTAGTTGTGAATAATACTCTATTCGATATTCACTTCGAGGTGAACTGCGATATTGATATTTTTCCAAGTGTTGGTCGCGGCAGGTTAGCCCCGTTGAGTGCTCTTCTTACCGAGCATCGGTGAATTGCAGAAAAGTCCGACAAAGCTCTTTTACATGTATTACTTCTCTGCCATGCACTAGTGCTCAGTAAGAAGTGCACTCAACGGGGTGAAAATGCTGCTATTAACACTTAGAAAAGCACAAATGTTACAGTTGCGTGCTTAGAAAGGAAGCACACTTTCAAAGTGATATGGTGGAAGCATGCACCTGGTGTATTTAAGAAGAAATGGCAACTTTAATGTTGATATCTACATTGCAATAAAATTTTCAATATTAAACTGGCTATTCTGCATGAGTGTATATTAGGCAGGGATGCCCTGACACCTTGTGTTAATCATTTGTGACTGAAGAAGAGATACTTGCATATAGCAAGAATATTTTTAAATCTCCTCAATTAGGTATAGGCTTAATTTTATGTAAAATGTGTCGTTTACTGGCTATCCCAAAGTAGGCATTGAGCTTTGTCAGGCCAATCTAACTATTAGTGATGGACCGAATCTGCCGAACTTGAGATTCAGCGAAGTTCGGCACTTGCGAAACTTTTGAAGGAAAGTTTGGCAAAAATTTGGCAAACTCCTGCGCACGCGCGAGAATGCGACGGGGCCACGGATTGCAAATGGACGGTGTGCAGTCGTGCGGTTACCATCATACAATGTAGTACTACCAGTGGTTACGGCAAGGTGCGAACTAGGTGATGTGGTAACTGTGTGTTTGTCAGCCTTTGCGAGTGTGTTCTCTTCAATATTTTCTACCTCAAGAACAGAAGATTGACCAAGAAACTATGCAAAAATGATGCCATCCACTGCACAAGTGACAAATCATGCGGTACATTCAGGATAACGTGATTTTCATTTGATTGTTCCAGTGGTGCAACCAGGCAGTTGCTACGCTGACTGATAAGTAACTTAAAGCAGTCCTCGCCATTATAGCAATCCCGTTTTTGGCTCACCAGTAGTGCGTGCCAAAACAAAATCATAATGCTTTTAGTGTGATTTTGCAGTTTTCATCTATCCACACAAAATTAAATACAGAACTATCATGCTCAATGTTGCACATCCGACATTCTTAACTCTTACCATCTTCCTAATTGTCTCGTGTGTCCGAATGTCAGAAACCAGTATTTTAAAAGTTAAAAAAGGAGACGTTGCGAATATGAGACGCACACTTTCATGCAAAACTGAAGTGACTCAAATTGAAAAACATGCATATTGGCAATAATATTGTTCTTCTGGTGAACCTTGTGCCGTGATTGCGTACCAACGATGTTGCTACGCACAGTTCTACTCAACCTGATTTGTCGCAGCACTTCTGGAAAAAGTCGCTTTAAAATTACCAGTAAACTCACGAAAATGACACCGATACAATTATTTTGTAGAATATCACCTTATTTACTAATAAATGTGTCAGTGTGCATCCAAAAAGAACCTAAAAACTTTTTTCGCACGATAACGGTATATAAACTTTTAGGTCTGGTAACAATGTATTTTTGCCGAATCTTTAGAAAAGTTTGGCAAACATTCGGTGTTGCCGAATCTCAAAATTTGGCGCCGAATTTTTGATTTGGCAAAGGTTTGGCCCATCACTACTGACTAGATTAGAAATGGAAAAGTGGAATCTTGGGTACAGCCTTCATGAGTTCAGCTGGGTTTTCATTTAAAGCATGGTGCAGTAGTGAAAGGCTTAGAGAAGCTATTAAATTTAAAAAAATTTTGTCAAAACCACTATTAGCTTTGAATTTCCTCCCAATTTAAAGTTTATTCTTTACACACGTTTACAAGCTACTCATCTGGCTACTACATACCTTAATATATATGTTTAGAGAATTAGCCACTTGTTTTGAATTACCGTTTTCGAAATGTTACCCTTGCCGCCATCTGTTATTGGGAGAATGTTGAGGTTAAAAACAAGCTCATTATTTTGTGCCTCTCACGTCCGTTTTTTATGTTTTAAGGCGAAAGCCTTATATGTCCCGTTACGCAAAAAGGTGGTGTCGGCATTGTGCCTGAAAGATAGCCATAAATATATCTCATCAAACAAGTGCCGCTCAAGGTCAAAGTGGACACGCCTCAGGAATAAAACTCAAAGAAAAGCACAGTAACGCAGGTGCTTCGTCACGGAAGCCGTGAAGCCGAGAGGGCCTGTGCGATGGGGGTGCATGATGTCACCATTGGAGGGAGCGCCGTGTGCAAAAGGAAGATGTGCGCTGTTTGTAGGAATGTGTTCGCATTCCTACACGTTAGCAATCTTAAGGGGGGACACGACCGAGAAAAAAAATTTCTGCAAAAAAAGTTGATTTTGAAAAGTGACATACATATTTACATCCAACAACATCTAAAGAGTATTTTCAGAAAGTTTAATTAGTTTACACTGTATAGTTAATTTTTTATAAATTATTTTCTGTCCATCGAATCTAAAGAAAAGGTAGGATTTGGAGCACTCGGAACACATTTTTCTCCGTTCCGCTTTTTGGTATTTTTAGTCAATCTATCGTTTGATAATGGCAATATAGAGAAGGCTCATTCTTCACTTTCCTGACTGAAATTTAATAAGGAATGCGGACGTGGAATTTTTTTGCCACTTGATGGATATCTTTTATAAAAAAAAATGTTGACATTTTGTCAAAGACACAGAAGAACAAAAAGTTGACCAAATTTGCAGAAGAGAAAATTTACAGAAATAAATGACTTTTTACAAAAAAAAAACTTTCCATAGCCGCACCCCCAGGCATTCTGCTACATATCTAGCGAATAAAGATCTTCAAATATTGTAACAGTTTTCCGATGATACATTAACTAAACAATGTAGGCATGTTGCTGATAGAAGCTGCTCTAATTTCCTTCCCATTTAACCGACAAACCTGAAATTATGTTATGCACACTTTAGCATGACCACCAGCCTACCATGTAATTTTAATACACTTTAAGTCAAGGGTTCAAAAGTTTGACCCGCCCAGGGGGTGTGTCCCCTTAAGTGTCTTCAGCATGTTTTTTCTATGTTCATCATCATTTAGTAAGTCATTTTTACTTCAGTATTTCACAAATAGAATTGTTTTTTGTGTTTTTGCTGTGAGTATATGTAGCGAATGTTCGATGTCTTTTAATTGCATCTGCAGAATATTCGACGAGAAGATTTTAAGAAGCTGTTTGAGGGTCTTAAGAAAAATACGCACCTCGAGTCTCTGTCACTGGCCAACACCGACCTGACCGACAGCTTAGTGAAGGTAAGTGCCCGATTTACTAGTTTGTTTTGTGGTCAAGTAGTAAACTCTCATTAAAATGATTAAATATGATAATTTCCTAGCTATGATTGAAACGGATTAATTACACTACCATTTCTTTCAATTTATGTGAGGCCCTGGCTAGGTAGCTATTTGCACATGCATAGCCTTTATGTTGATAAACCCAGTCTTATTCTTTGTTTATGGAGCATGTGACTAAAGTGGTTGCACTATGTCTATTCAAGCTATTCTATGATTCTCAATCGCTTGGCCGAAATCACTATTTGCTATAAATTCCGATTCAAACCTGCAGTTCATTGCGATAGATGTTCGTGTTCTCCGGTTTTCACAGAGATTAAGATTCTGGCTCGTCACCGCAACAAAGTAACTAGAGAAATTGATGAGGTGTTTTTTAGTTCTATGCAGTTCACTGGCTACAGATGTTTGTGTTTCCAGTTTTCACGGAGGTTAAGATTCTGGCTCATCACCGCAACAAAGTGACTAAAGAAATTGATGAGGCGTTTTTTTATTTCTATACCTATGGAGCGGACACGTGTGTAAGTGCCCCGTCCGTGGGTTTGGCAGATGACGAAATGTCTTTCATTAAGAAATTCGGCAGATTTGTCTAAGTGTTTCGGGCGTGCCTCAAGGGGGTGGATTATGTTTTATCTATCTTGCATCTCTTATGTTTTCCTTTCTGTTCCTCGCAGGTATAAACTTCAGTTGCCAGTCAGCATTGTGTTCGTTCACTTCTCGTTCTTGTCCCTTGTCTTTTTTTGCGCTGTTTCCAAATTTGACTTTTAATACCATTATTAGATTTTCAGTGCCAGCAATTGTCAGTTTACCCATTTACTGTCAAGTGAAAGTGGCACATCTTGTAGATACTACCTTGCTATTTTTTGTGTTGCCACCACTGAACTAGCAATAAATGCAAGGTGCTGAAATGGACTATATTGAGCACTAAAGCATTGTCATAGTGGCTCATCAACACTTGTTGTCTTCTACTCAAGTGACTTGTGTTAGGATCTTTTCATAGGTCAAGTCTCTATAGGATAGCCTCTTTACCTTTCTGAATAAAATTAATTCTTTTCTTGTTCTTTCTTTCTTTTTTGAGGCTGTCAGGGATAATTTGACAGTCATTTGGAATAGTCATTATAACCCACAGAAACTATAGCACAGAGCATTGAGCTTAAGTTGCATCAGATCTGCACTTCAATCAAATGTAATGCAATTGTGCCCAGGAAAGTGCCAGTGGAGACGGACATGAGGAGGGGGGCCTCAAACAAGTGCTTGTCCATGTCCCTTTCTTCGTGTCCGTCTCTGTTGGCACTTACAAGTTTCCTGAGCATCATGCACAAACCAGTCCAATAACAAGTCTTTGTGCAGCTAGTAGTAGCTTTGGCTGATAGTTGAGAGTCTGCCATTATAACCGGGCTCTGTGTATTTGCAGCGCCTGATTGAGGCTGTGAGGCAGAACAAGACACTGAAGTCGCTCAATGTGGAGTCCAACTACATCAGCGGCCCCACGCTCAAGGACCTGGTTGCGGCCACAAATGTCACACAAACGCTCGAGGAGCTGAGGGCCTCAAACCAGGTATGCAAGGCGGCTGCAGTGCCCACCCAGTCTCTTATGTCTAGTTCTCAGTTTGCACATTTCTGAAATTCTAAGCTAATATTCAATGTGTGCACTCAAACTGGCTTATCTCAGTCTAAGATCAGGATTCTGTGCCCAAGGGTCGTTTAGCTTGACTCCAGTGCAAATTCAAAACATGCATACACTTTGTAATAGTTTATCTACAAGAAACAATGTTGTATAACGTGGAAGAATTGGTTCAACTGGTTTGTTTAAAATCCAGTCAGTCCCTTTACAAATTATATACTTGGTCTATTTAAATGCTGCAGTTAGAGGCATATGCCGTGTAGTTTCCAACAAATGCCCGCATCATCATTTCGTTAGAATTAGAAACTTGCAAGGTACCAGCAAGAAAAGAAAACCAGCAGGTCTTTCGAATGAGTGCGTGCAAATTACTTGCATGCGCCACTGCACAAGGCAGCTGTGGCAAAAGGTGTACGGCCATGCAGGTTGCTCACACGAGTACCTAACCACTCACAGGGGTAACCCTCAGGTAGTGACTGTTTTTAGACGGAGGGAAAATTATTATTTGCACCGATAGATAAAATTACCTCTAATATTATGACAGTCTAATGCAAGTTTGCCGTGTATGGTCTGCGATATTGGTTCCCAAGCCACGCGAGTTGGTATGGCCCGTTTCACCTATGTACTGCAGGAGACGTCGTAAGTCATGCTAATCAATCCAACACTGTGAGCACGTCACGTAACTCCACACCCTGCCCGTCCCTGCTCGCATCCGGAAGGTCACGTACACTCGCACGAAATCGAACTGGCTCCGATGGCTCGTAGCGTTTGCTGCGGTCCATATTAGGTGAAATGGAGTATAGTAGGTGTCCTTTTGTCAATAGCTTCTTTCGTACAACTTTTTATTCTTGCATCCCAAAGAATTGCCCACTTTCATTTTTCCCCGTTTACCTCTTCACCCGAGACGGATGTTGTTTCGAAACTCTACGGTAGCAACATTTTGGAGGCGGTTTCAGGGGCTGGAAGCAGCACCTAGCCGCACGTTGGTTTTCCACATTCTCTTCCCGATGCTCGAGTAAAACCCCATCCGCACGCTGCGATTCCAGAGGCCCATGATCTTGGGCAACAAGATTGAGATGGAGATTGCACGGCTGGTGGAGAAGAACAGGCACCTGCTCCGGCTGGGCATCTCGTTCGACGTCCCTGATGCGCGCATGCGTGTCACCCAGCACCTGCAGAACAACTACGACCGCCGTGAGTTCCTTTTGCGAGGCTGCGCCATGGTCACTTGCAGAATGAGAACAGCGGGGCGAGTCTTTCAAACGCCCGGCCTCCAGATCGCGTTTTGTGCCTCCCACCACGCTCTGGCTGGGCACGAGCGCTCAAGGTGCACCAGAGGCCCAAACGTTGTTGAAGGTTTGGAAGCTTGCACTGGAGGCAGGACAACTGATGCCCCTCCCTGCCGTTCTTGCCATGTCAGTGTCAGTACTGCTATGCAGCTGGGAAGAAGCTGGAGACTAAGGAATTACTTTGGTAAAGTTTTTAATCTGCAAGCCAGAAAGAAGATAAGTATTATGCTGATACGCTGAATTTAGGCCACAGTCTCGTTGTGTGGTACAGCACCATACTTACCGCTGTTCTAAAATTTTGTGTTGCATGGTACAGCACCATATTTACCACTGTTAAAAAATTTCATAGTTCTCATATATTTTATTAGTACCATCCGAGGTGGACAGCATTCTTCCTCTGAAATCTTTTAAATGTACAGATGGTGAAATCCGAGCAATACTAAGCTCAGTATGCGGGCCTACAAGCCAGAAGGCTGAGACACGAAGAACTAAAATTGTAGCTAACCATGGCAGTGCATGCTCCAAAAAACTTTAATTCTGTTTAAAAAAAAAAAATTCTTCCCTCATTTTTTTTTTTTAATGCAGTATTGTAAAAATGCAGCATTTTAGGTGTATAGCTAAGTAGAAGGTAAGAGGGTCATTAACAACGAGTATAGTGTCTTTTGGAGCAATCATCTTGGCCTCGTTTATGGTCCCGTGACTTAGCTAGTTTTATAATTTGCTAACCTCGAGGCAAGATAACGGTGTTTTCCTGCTTCGTTTCCTAAAGCTCTGCTTTTCAGACATCCGGTGGGTAACCTAAAGTGACCAAAGAAAGTCCCAAGTGTTAGATTAGTGTTTTCATGCTCCCAGCAAGAAACAAAGCTTGGTTGCAATACCATCTGTGACCGTTTTCATCCATCATTCAGGCATAAAGGAAAGCATAGGTTCTCAAACTAGCTTCCCAGGAGTCCAGATGTCCTTTGGAACACCTTTTTCGGGGTTTATTCGTCAATTATTCGTCGCCCTTGCCTCTAAGTAAAGCATTTCTCCAGCTTAAAGGGGTCATAAAAAAATGTGTCTGCCAGATTTTATTTTTCTTACAGTTATTCAACCACAAAGACGTTGATTCCATGGTATTATGCCGAAATATTGCATCTGCACTTTATAAACAGTGTCTAAAAATCATGTTTTTTCGGACTGTCGGTAACAACCCTACTTCAGCAAGAGCAACAAAACGTCACGATAGATATGTAGATAGGTTGAACAGATATTCAACATTATTAAATCTTCAAATGATAAATTGGCACTGATAAAAACATTGAGTTGTTTATTAGCGTTCTTGCATTAGACTTACGCCATTACATCACATAATTGGGATACAGCTCCGGTTTCAAACGTATCCGGGTCTTCTGTCGCTTGGTAACCGTCGTAACCATGCTGCTCATCCCGCCGCAGCTCGCATTTGTTTTGGAATGCAGTTGTGGAACCTCATGGTGGATTAGAACTAAAATAAAACAGTAACGCAAAAAAAAAAAAAAAAGATATGATTAAGTTTTGGTTTAAATCCCAAAGCAAGGGGGGACGCATGCGTGTGATCTTTCGACTATCAGTACATCCTTTTTGGGTGCTATTTTAGCGGGCGCTGTAGGACGTTGCAGTTTCTCACGACTGGCTTTATAGTTGTGAGTTTCCCATTTATTTCCTTTACCATGATCCTCCTCAGCACTAACTCGACATTGCCGTTCCTCAGGTACGCAAAGACGATTCATTTTGCTTATATTTCTAGCCTTCTTGCCCTTTTTTTCCTGCGAGCGGGACAATGATTTTCTGGTTCGCCTTTTGACGATCAAGTCAGGATGCGGCTCAACCGATCAATGTTGCAAACAAATCCCCTCAAACTCTCCCCTGTAGCGCAACATATGGTGTCGTTGCACGGCTTAAAACCTAAAAACCGACCGCGGTGTAATAGGCAATGCTAGAGCTTAATTAGGTCGGCCATCTTACAAGTGTCTGAGTATAATATCAGACGTCAGATGTCATCATTTGATACTATGCGTGCGGGATATCATTATGGTGCCACTGTTGGAACAATGTTTGACGCTGTCTTCGCCCACGGAGTCCAGTCTACATTGCCATCATGTGCAGCCAACAAAAATTCCCTATTGGTGATCTGTCGTGACGTATTTGTAGAACTGAGAGGAAAGCTTCCCAGGAAACTGAAATTATCTTTTTTATGCTAGTAAATGAATCCAGACAATCGAAAGAATGAATCTGGGTTGTATAATAATGAGCAAGGATTCCAAATAGACAAATAGCTCAGAATTTTGGAAAGACGTTTCACAATCCCGTAAATTTTTATTTTTTTTTTCACAAATGATGTTTCCTAGTGATTGTGCTTTGTTTCAAAAAAAAAATAGAATGAAAAAAGACGCACAGTTTCTTTTATTATCTTTAATAGGAGCACATACAGTGCTTGCAGACTGTTCAGGATTAGAGGCATCGAATTGAAATATTGAAGGCGAAAAGTGGTCACTTCTTTTCCTTTGGTTTCATTATAAGGCGCCCGCTTGCGAGACATTTTGGCGGTTTCGTATTTTAAATTGGAGGTACTTTACCAAGCTTTTCCATCAGATGGTAAGCTCTCGTCCTCCGAGTTCAATTCTGAGAAGCATTACAAGTCTAATGCCACTACTGCCAGAGCAGCCTACATGTGAAGCAACCATCTCGCTCGCGCCTATTACGTCCGCAGAGCGTCTATTTTCAGAAGTAGAAATATCCCCAACAAAGTCGAATACTATGCGATTATAAGGTTATAGTTTGCGTTTAGGCAAGCCCTTTGAAGTGTGTAATTGCCGCCGTACATGTACGGCAATGACCGTCAAAGGGTTAAGATTTAAGCGCAGCTGAGCCACACATTAATGCGTAATGATGCATCAAACACTCCCATTTTTCTTCACAACATTGGGTGCACCGTTGTCAACAAGGTCGTTGGCTGCGGCAGAGATGGGTTTCATGGCTGTTACAAAAGGACTTAGAATTTCTGACGTAAGCCAAACAGGCCTAATTTTTGGAGAGTACAATCTGACATCTACGGTCTCCACCAATATGAAAGACCTACTCAAAGTAGATAGGTACATGGCTGAGACGGTGTGGACAGTTCCATGATGTGCTTAGGGGAGCGAAACTGGACATTGCAGCCAAACAGAATAACTGACAAAGGACCTTTCTTCTCTCAGAGGGATGTGGAATCGCCCAAAGCATGAGCGGCGCCCCCACCAGTAGCCTTTTCAGCCTCGTGCTCCGAATGGGTCTTTTATATTGGTGGAGACTGTACCTTACTGTTCTATGTCTCATGTACCAGTCTTACCAACAATTTTAGAAGAAAACCTCAAGCGCCACTTGGCCAAAGTTCACTGCTCTCCAACACCTAACCCTTTTAAACACTGTTCGTTATGAGCCTTTTCTCTTCTGCAACTGATTACCACTCTGTCTCTTTTCAGTGCGACTGAAACGCACGGCATCCGGCAGCACCTAAAGGAAATCTCGGCGTTTTCAATCATTTTTTTTACAGGAGGGGAGAGAAAATTGTGTTCGCAACAACTTGGCGTTTGCTTTTGGGACTTTCAATGCTGCCTAGCGGTGCTGTTGATGGGATAAGATCCCGGAGTGACTGTTTTGCGATCCTGTCTGCGTTCTTAGATTTGTTTTTGTGCCGTGTTGTGTGGTCCTGTTGTGTGAGCTCAAGTGCATTTAATGCAAGGACAAGCTATCTGCACAGTCAAGCCAATCGGCATTAACGCTGCTTCGCTCTTTGGGCCGAGATTTGAGACTCTATCCTCTGCTTTGCAGGTACGGGCTTGCTACATGTTGGGTCTATAAAACTGCGATGGGGTCAAATATCGTGTGGCCAGCTTTGCCAAGAGGTTTGTTGCTCTTGGGGTGAAATTGCAGATGGAAGCTTTAACCGCTTTGACACAATGAGTGGTGTCCACTATAAAAAAAAGAAAGAGATCCCTCTGCTTTCGTGTATCATGCTAATCACAAACATTAAGCCTTGAATCTGTGCAATGTGTATAGGCATACCCATTGCTTGAGTGCTGAAAGCTAATGCATACAAACACCAGCTTCTGGCTTCTGTGTGAAAGATAAGTTTCTTTCTATTCTAGACTGACTAAAGCTTCATGTGGTTGGTAAGCGGCTGGTCATGAGACTGAATCACTGCCTAGAATGGGCTCAGGAGGCCATTTTTAAGATACTATACCCAGGATACTGAAGAGTACTACTATTTCAGTTCAGAGTACTACTACTATTTCAGTTTATAACTAAAGTGACGAATGTATCATCTTGTGATTGTGCATCTGCAGGAAATATTTGTGAAAGCTTTAGATAATCTTCATTCTATAAACAGAAGATAGGTATGTTTTTAGTGATGTGTTTATTTTTACTTACTAGATCCAAAATTTATTTACAGACTTTTTTTTATCATTTATTTTTCCCTTTCTGATGTAACCCTGCTTTCTACAAGGAACAGAGCTTATTGGAACGTAAAAAGGGTATTTTTGTTACGCCATTTCATTGTTTTCAAATGCAAGTCTGTTGCAATGCAGATTTTTTTTTTTTTTTTGTGTGGCAAGAAGATAGGCTGCTGTACATACAAGCTATGTTTATTTGGAGTGTGTTCCAACGGACAGCTTTGGATACGAGCTGTGTCGTCAGTTACAGCTCTTGGTGGTCTAATGAGAATAATGTCATCTCGCCAAAAAGTTGTGCTTTATCCTTGTTCTTGGCATTATACTTTTTTCCACCATGCATGTAATGTGTACTATACTGTGCTCAATTATCTCGAGCTTTTGTGGACTCCTCAAAATATGTAATCCTGTCTCAATTAAACATATACCAGTGATAGCAGAAGCAGTCTCTATCCTCTTTTGAGTGTAGTTGCTACGTAATGCAAGATTTCATCCAATTGACCATTTCATTTTGACCATGGCATTTAAAAGGTGCAAAGAAAACTGCTCCAGCCTTGGGCAAAACGACTGAAGCATTAAGAAAAGCCTTTGGTACTACACTGATTGTATGCTATATTAGTATTGTTCCCATGTAGACTAAAACCAAACCTTGATCAGAACAAGAGTGGGAGTAGCTGCCATCCAATAGACCTATTTGAGTGAAATCTTGTTTTACACATGCAAACAAAGTGCTGGACAAAAGCAGCAAGGTATGGCATGGAGAAATTCCCAAACTAAGCTTCTGCAACCATAAAGCTGGGGAGGTAAGATTGAACAGATATGGGAAAAAGTACTTTATTCTTTGTTTGTTACAATTACAGAAGTGTTAAGTTACCATAGTTCTTTGCCAACTGTTTTATTAAAGTTGCCCACTTGCTTGGCTCAAGACCACACTTGCAGGTAGTTTGACACCCATCCGCTAGTGATTTATATTGGTCAAGGGCAGTCTTGGGCAGTAACACATTGCAATAACTTCGTTACTTTTTTTGCTAACTTAATGTAACGAGTTACTATTTTTAAGTCTAACTCGTAGCTACACTCGTCACAACAGGAAAGAAGGAAGTTTTGTGCATTATTCATGCGCTGCACGAAGTACTTACAAGATTTGGTTGTTGGAGAAAAAAACTATGCATTTGGCGTTCAAAACTTGTACTCCTTGGTAATATAATGGTAAGCTAATCTAAAGTTCGCCCACATATATCTTAATTCACCTCATCAAGGAGTAAATCAGTAATGCTCTGCGGAAAGTCGACTATTTTTTACTTTGGTTCTTAAAGGGGTACTCCGGCGATTCTTTCATGGCCTCTGATTTGCCTCAAAATTGGCTCAACACACTAATGGACACCGCTGTACCAATTCGCCAAGTATTGTGTGAAAAGAAAAACATTTCGCAAAGTTATTGAATTTTCTAATTTCGTTCTCATCGTTTCTCAAATTGGGAGCCCCTACTGGCAACATTGAAGTGTGACGACAGAAATGGTACAAAGTGGGCAGTAAGCCATGTTCCCAACTGATTACAAGACGTTTAATGGTGGGAGAAGAATGCTTGGTGGCCAATTCACTAAGAAGCATGCAAAACACACTCAACATACTCTAAGACCACCTGCATGCCCTGAAAGTCTGCACCATTTATTACGTCACACCACCGGAGAGCACGCGGAAATTTGAATGTTGGTTTTGGCATCATCTTTATTTACAGTTTTCTTAATTGCTATTTTGAATTTAGAGAGAATAAATAGCATTGAAGACTGAAGTCCGGATAGTCAAAAAATGCAATTTGTTTGGGTAGCTCAAAAAATGGCCGGAGGACCGCTTTAAGGCGAGTATGAATATAATTCTATTACTTCTTCTGAAGTAACGAAAGGAATGATGCAACTTTTGTCATTATATCTGTTTCTTGAGCAATAAGATATTGAACGAGTACAATCTAGCCATTCCTTGCACTTTCCAAATTATATGTTCCGACATTTCGAGTGTCAAACTCGCCAGTCGTGACCCGAATATAACCACATGTAGATTTTATGGGTGCTTACACTTGTGCAATCGCTTTTTAATCACATAAACTGTGAAAAGAGACATCCGAAGGGTACTGTGTGTTCTATCCTTGATTAGTGCAACAAATGTGGCATTGTGTCAACTGTCAAGGCATAACTTGCTGCTGTTTGTGTGGGGTTTGTTCCTGGTTTGCTGGGGACAAAATGAAAGATGTCGAGCAACTCTATGAACTGAAAGGAGCCTGCAATGTGATACCGGGGATAGGGACGTTTCTGAGGGTAAAGAGGAACTACTGTGGCCGGCATACGGAAAGTATTTTCCTGTGTTGAAAGTGGTTGCTAACAACTTCAACAGTTGCATGCTGTCATGTTAAAATCTGAGAAAGCACCTCGAGGTGCTGAAAATAAGACTTCGGAGGCAACGGCTCTCTGTATTCTCAACGCTTACCCGGCAGTCAAGCACCTGTTCCTGCGACACAACACAGCCATTCCATCCAGCGCACTAGTTGAACGCTTGTTCAGCAAAGGCAGAAATGCGTTTGCCATCAAACGAAGGAAACTTTGGGACATTAATGTTGAGAAGCAATGGCTGTTCAGTTATGATACGCAGTGAAATACATACTTTTCGTAACTTCATGTAATCCACTTGGGGAGTGACCTCTTCTCTAGTTTTTACCTGTTTTTTGTTCTAGAAAATTAACCCAAAAGTAATGTCATTACCGTAGCAGCCCGAAAGATGGCTCGGCTAAAATCAAGTGAACGTAAGCAGTGGGCTAACTTTCAAAATGCAATCAAGAAAAGTTGAAAAAAAAAAAAATGCTATTTTAGGTAATGTGTTTCTGCCAAACTTGTTATAGCAGCGAGGGGCAGTGAAACAAGAATAACCACTTTCCAGTCAGCAGTGTTCGCTTATATCTAGCCATAGCTAACTAGCCACATTGACACTGTGGTCATCATTGATTTGAACACTATGATTTCTAGGAATGGGCTTTCATTCGACGTTTAGAAAATTATAGCAAATCAAGTCAGAAATGGGGGTGAGGCATTTCAGGATGTTGCGGTACTTTTTGAAGGTAACTAACTAGTTTCTTTTTTGTTGCAGTAACTGTGCTACTTTTTTTTAAAAAGTAACTAACCGTAACAGATTAGTTTTTGAGAGTAACTTATTCAAGACTGGTCGAGGGAAAGATTTAGATGAAAAACATGTAGGGTTATCCTTAATCTTGATGCTGTACAAACGTGCCAGTGAGAGACGAGTTATTTGGTTCATGTGCACCAAGCTACTGTCTCCTACTCGGTTGCTAAAGCAGACAATTTTGTGAAAAGATGGTCAGGATGCAAGAAAAATCCCCAAGAGAAGTTTCTCCATTCTTTAAAGTGGCAGTAAGGAACAAAAATAGTCCTAATCAGACATGACTAGCTGTCTGCTAACCATCTAAGTACTCATCAGTACAGGGGGTGGCCACAGTATTTGATCACACACACATAAGTAAAGCAAAAACTAACTTGCCTCCTTCAATAACCAATGCATTTGCACCACATTTGGTACAGGTCTCCAAAATTTATGCTCTTGAAGCTCATTCAAGAAAACCACTGCTAGCATCAGTGACAAACTTGATACAGATCCAAGTATGTATTTGCAAGCCTTGATAAGGTGCTCCAGATTGATGTCGGCCATCACACCTACAATGGCTGCCTTTAAAGAGACTGTTATTGCGAGTCTGTTTGTTAGTCTCCCTTTCAACCCCCAGACATTAGAGTCCAGCGGGGGTAAGGAATGTTGTACGTGACACAGTCATGGAAATTTCTAGCCAGCCACTTTTGTGTGACGGAAGCCGCCCCTGGGCGACATCCTCAATCCAAGGCATTAGTACAACCGTGACCAGCACCTCAGCATACACGGTGGCATTGAAGCTATGGTCCTGAGGCAATAAATGAGGTGGCATGACACGACACTAGATGCAGTGATGGAAGTTCTGCACCATTTGGGCCATAAACGAAAGTCTGCTACATCTTGTGCCAAAATGCCATTTTCGCTAAGAATTGCGCTACACCTGTGCCAAGAATGGCTTAAGTGTGAAAAAAAAAATTAATGTTTTATTATTGGTCGACCCTAATATTTGGAGAAGTAGAAGAAAAGAAAAATTGTATGAATATGAATTTCATGGCACACATACTAAAAGCGCAAGCCACGGGACATTACTTGATTGGTATAGCCAATGAACGAACTTGTACAAGGATATGACGAATGCCATTATGTCGCGCTTTGATGCTGCCAATCAACCAGCTAGAGCCATTGATGCTGGGCATCAATGGCGCTGGTTGGTTGATCGCTGACATTGTCTAACTTTCCAGACTATGTCGTCAATGTCAGGAACTAAGGGTCCTCAGAAAACTTCACAAAAGAGTGGGATTGCCGATTGCGGCTACTGTGATAAAACAGAACCAGGGTCTTGTCCTTCTGGTAAGATCAGTCGATTATTGTGCTTGCCTCACGCCTTCATTCCGTGGCCTGCAGAGTACCGTGCCACTTCCGTCTCTCACCAGTGTGCGTGCGTCGAGCTTCACTGCTTTGCACCCGAGTGCTAGGAGCAGTGACTGACCTGAGGGAGCGCCTCGCTTAGCGCGGTAGGCACGCAAATTGTACTCAAGATTATTACGGGTCAAACTTCTTTGTCCTAATTGAGAGTTAATCTCATTTAAAAAGAAAACAGCGGAGGAATAGAGAGAAGAAAACGAGGGTCTATATATATATTTAAATAAATACGCTAGTCACGGTAGTTCCCTTGCAGCTGCCGATCGAAAGAGCGGCGAACTTTGACGTAACTCTGGCAGTATCACCTTTAAAATGCAAATGTAAGCTCTTGTAATACTTGGGGGTGGTTGTTTTTGCAGTTTAGGATATTGGAGTTCTAAGTTTGGTAGGTTCATTAAACTTACGGGAACATTTTTATTGGTAGACATGTTAGCGGAAATTCGCATTCTTGTTCGCATTTTACAGAAATTATATATACAGGCTAAACAAACTACCGAGTGTAAAATGGAGAGGGGAATTTATCACAATTAAGTTTTGCACTATGATTCACTTTTCAATTATTTTTAATACCCACTGTACATGAAACCTACTCTGACCCGAGCCTAATTTAAGAACACACTGTGCCTTTTATGCCCTATCTATTTTTATCACAAATGGTAATAAGTAATATGCTCGAGCAGCAAAGAGAAACCCCTGATCACTATCAGAAATGGACTCATTGAATTGCAATCAATTTTCATTCTCAAGTGATGGGCTAACAGATGTTGGCATCTGCTCCAAAAATGTCAGTGGCTGCTCCGAACCAAGTTTTTGCCTGCCACAGAACCTGTGAACAAAAGGTCAAATGCCGCTTCCATCACTGTAGTTGCCGACAATCACCGCGACTGTCACAAATAATGGAAACTTGGTGGGCTTAATGGTGGAGAGCTCTAAGGTGCTAGAACAATGCCACCCGTCATTTTTCCAGTTCACAACTCGATCTTGGAGGAAGTTGTTCTCGTCTGAAAAGAACCAAAGTGTGTCACGCCCCTCAGAGTGCTCGAGTTTGTTCACCAGATGTTTTGACTGGATAAGGCGATTCAACTGGGTCTTGTCATTCGTGAACTGCCCTCTTCTTACAAAGGACTGGTACAGCATGAACCAGATGAATGATGGTGTACTCATCAACTTTAAAGGGCCTTTGCCCAATTGATTTGCTGAGGTATCACTGATGACCTTTTGGACTTGATGTACAAAGTGTTCAATTTTAATTCAAACAGATTTTTTTTTAAAGATGGGGTTGAGAGTTAGACGTGTGCCATATTCAACATGTCCTCAGGCTTGGCGAACGTTGGACGAGGGGATAATCGTTGTAAGGTGGCTGATTAACTAAAATCTGTTCACAGACTTTCTAATTCTTTGTTTTGAGGAGTCATGTAGCAATTGCATTGTTGACAGCAATAACTATTAGAAGTTAAACTGATTGAAGGAATTTGTGAAAATCTAAGTTTTTCTTAAATATAAATTGATCAATTTTCACATTTTCTAGCAGGAATAAAAAATTGCATGCAAAGAGTTCCGCAAGCACTGCTCACAATGACATTTGAAACAGTGATGCACTAGTTGTTTCAGTCATGTCGTCACCATCGGTAACATGTCCTTGGTGGGTGCACCGATGACAGGAAGGACGAGGTGACTGAAACGACTATGTCACTTTCCTGAGACTCACTAAGCACTGGGCTTGCAGCGCTCTTTTTGTGCGCAACTTTTGGATTGGGCTAAAAAACATGAAAGTTGATCAATTAATATCTAAAAAATTATTACAATTTTGCAAATTTTTTTAATTGCTCTGGCCTCTAATACTAATTGCCATCAATACTGCAATTTCATTATGACCCCTAAATTAGGGTTCATATTGAACCTCGTTGAGGTAGATCATATCTAGGGTTCCGCGTTTTCGGATAAATCTGAGAAAACCCGAGAAAACTTGCCCGTAAATTTTCTGTCAATTCAAAATGATCCGAACAACTCCAAATTTCAAGGTTGTGGTGACAAAGTAATAAGCAAAAAAGACTGTTTTACAGATAAACTTTACAAAAGCACAGGGACAGTGGTCCTGAGGAGATGCCTTTTAGTTTCCTTTGAAACCCTGAACTACCTACGAAAGGGGTTTGCCCTTTTAGCTCGTTGAGGTTCCTTCAGGACAAACAAATCATGATACCCCAAACTTTTTTTTAAATTAAGAACAAAGTCAAATAAACTTTGAATTTCGAAGAATTGGGAGTCAAACAAAAATAAACTCCTATAAACCCCAAATTTTCAGCGAAAAATGAACTCGGAAAAGCACACTCCGAGTTTTACGAGAAATAAACTCTGAAAACACGGAATCCTAATTATAATTACATCAAGGAGGTTAAATTCATGATCTTGAGATGTGGTAGCCAACATGCTGAATTCATTTGCCATTCAAATATTTCTATATTAGTGAGGTCTATCCAGGAATTGCACGAGAAAGATGCAAGGCTGTGCCCTAGACATGGATTGAAAGGTCAAAAAGCCCCGAACAAAACGGGACGAAAAAAGACACGTACAACACGTGTCGTACGTGTCTTTTTTTGTCCTGTTTTGCTCGCACCTTTTAACCCTTTAATCGATATGTACGAACTAGCCCCAACCACAGTTTTATTCCCTAGACATGCTATATGCATGTGTGCAGAAGAGTAATTGATAAGAAAAGTAGTATGCCCAGCAGGGAATCCCCCTTTTCACATAATGCAGAGAGCATTGGGACTTAACCTGTACTTTCCATAATGCGGGATCATTGAAGTGCAAGATAAAATGGTTATATTCAAAAGAGTATTCGCAAACAACAAACATGAAAATTGAAGCTTGCAGAAGAGTGGATAAATCCTGCAATCCTAGCATGGGCCACATGTTGCCATGGGCCCTACATGAATAGAGAAAGTGAGGTTTCTGCAAACAATTTATTTAGCCCACACACACAGACACTCCAAATGCATCTGTATTTCCTTTTAACCTCGCCTAACAAAAAGTGCTTCCTTGACAATTGTACCAGCAAGGCTGAAAGTGTGCATCTTCAGGGGCAGTTGAAAGCGACAAAAACGAGCAATTATCGGCGAACCAGAGGCTCGGAGGCAAAAGGCATCTTCGAGTAAGGCAGCTTCAGAATCCTAGTGGCTCTCTCCTTTCTTGCCAGCCACCTGAAATTAGAGGTCAGGGGTTAGACATATTGTCTTTAGATTGCAATATTTCGCTCAACATGAAATTTAAAATGACAGTTAAAGGTTTTCTAATACCTTTAAGGGATAAAATTTTGTCTTCTCTGACAGTTATCCTTGGGTTTGTAAATCTTTCCTTCAAAGTATTTATTTATTTATTCATTATACTAGACTGCAGGCCTTGATTAGGCCCTTGCAGGTTTGAGGCAGCGACTCAAACCGAAAAATACAACGTTTTGGTTACAGTTACGGTTACCGTTTCCCGTTGATATTGGTTTCAATTACTAATTTCATGTTCTTAAATTTTTTTTTTTTCGATTTTTTTTAATAGTTTGTTTTACTGAATGCTAGACAGTCATTTCAAAATAAATGATTTATAGTCGTCCCAGATATCCAACAACGGGACAGTCGCAATAACAAGAGCTCAAAAACGTCTTCGTATGTACTTCTAATTGGTCAAAAGTTGCACACGTTTCTAGCTACAACACGTGTTCACTACATCTATTTGCATTATATAGTTTGACACCCAAGAATACATGTTGCCCCTGCTACTCTGGGATCATCGCATTCTATATAATAAAAAATAAGCATCACTACTTTGTTTTTCGGCGGCATTTGTAAGCAACCCTCAGAAAGTTCCCACTGGGTGCGGCAAAAACCATTCACACCTTCTCGTCGCTACAGTTTGTTGCAACCTAAGATATGCAGAAAGGGCTTCGCCCACACTGAAGGAATTAGCAAACTATAGCCCTCCACTAGTAAAATGCTGCTAAGTGTAACAAAGTAATAAAATTGAGAGCTCGGCTAGTTGGTGAAAGTCAAACTTAATGTAAATGCAATAGTGCAAAACAAGGAAGACTAAGGAGAGGAGCGAACAACACAGGAAGCTGGAAAAATATGTCCTGTGTTGTTTGTTCCCTTCCCTAGTCTTCGTAGTTGTGCGCTGTTGCACCTGCCATAGAATACCGCGCATCCACCCATTCCCAAAGTTGTAAAATCTGAGAAAATATGCACAGTACAATTACATGTAAAATTGATGACCGGACAAGCGCCCATCCCCATTTTTTTGTGATTATCTCCAGAGTTTGAGTGGGCGCTTGCCCAGTATTTTACGGTATGTTATGTTTGCTATTTCCAAGCAAATGCATGTGGTTATAGAAGTGCATGTTTCTTGCTGTCCGATTATGCGACGATAGAAAAATTGTGCATTTATAGAGTAGCAATTGGCAGATTTAGAAATATAGACTTTTTAATATAAGCTCAATCACTGATTCCAACTAAGTATTCTTAATCCTAAATTTAGATTGAACGGAAATGTATTACCGAATGCACTATTCCCTGATGGTAACTATGTCAAATGGCCATGACATTTCAAGATACCTCTTCCAGGTTATTCTTTAAAAAAACTCATATTTTATTTTTCATTTAATATTGGTTAATATCGGTTACCAAAGAATAATTTACGGTTATGCTTATGGTTTTCATAAACTTCAAATAACAATTTCGTTCCTAAACAGTTTTGGATTTCGGTTAGATAGAATAGAAAAAAAATACATATTTAATAATTTCAACCACTGTTTTAATTGACAGTAAGGAGGATAGCAATGACTGTCAAAATAAACAATCAACATACCAATCCAAAAGATGCACAGATAGAAAAAACAAGACATTTCAAAATAAACATATCAAACAAAAATCGGTGTAGTGTTGCTGTAAGAGGAAGATGCGCAGTCGTGGGTGCCGCGGAAGTGACAGTGATTTACTAGCTTGCTGTGGCCAGTTCAAATTACATAAACTCATTGCCATATGGACACCTTGTCTTTTTCTCCCACAATATTGCAACATACTTTGGCGGAGGTGCAGGGTAAGTTTGAGCTCGCCAAAGGATGCATTTGTATTTCTTGCAAAAATCCTCTAAACAACCAAAACTTACTTCTAGTAGTATTAGGTTTGCATGATTCTAACGCACACTTTTTTTCACCAAAATCAGTGTCCAAAACTACATGCACCTTGCAATCGAAACCAAAACCTGAAACTCAAAAGAAACGCAATACTTGGTATAGACCTTTGCAAAAAGTGCTCTCTGGCTGCCACCATTTTGTGACTCAAGCGACCCCTATTAGCAAGAAATCTCTGCCACCCGCCTGAGTTGTGGAAACCTGGTCAGCATGACTCCCCACCTGCATTGTGCATTCAGAGTTTGCCAGTTTTTTTTTTTTTAAGTTTTTACTTTATTTGCCTGTTTAGGACGCTGACCTTTTTTCTGTTATCTTCCACCGTGAGAACCTGGGAATTCCAGGGATCATAGCCAGCTCGGCTTTCGCAAAAAAAGAACGAAGAGAGCGAACGTCAAGCAGCCCGCGATGCAGGCTGCTTGACATTCTTTGAGGATTATTTCCATTGAGATAATCTCCGAAAAGCCGTCCCGGCTATGTTCCTGGTCTTCATGAAAAATAGCTGATAGGGTCGGGTACGGGATGGAAACGAAATAAACACGTCCATCATTTGCTTTGGTGCTGTGCAAAAAAAGCAGCTCTCTTCAAAACATGCCTCAAAAAGGTGCCGGATTCCGTCCGATTGTCGCGAAGTGACTATCGTCGACACTGTATATTAGATATGCTGTGTTATTTGAGACATTACTCAAATAAACCTTGTTCGGAGAATGCAACACCGTGTGGTACATACAATATGTTTGATTGATGACTCGTTGAATTTCATGTTGTAAGCAGGGAACACTCACACATTTTGGCTATCCTGTGTGGTCAAATATTTTTGGGCACACAGCATTAAGTAATTAATTAATCACCAATATATTATAATTAAATTAAATGACACAAACATTCCAGTTGCATTTGTTCTGTCATGCATGGACTCGCCAAAAATAGTTTTAATTTGTTTGTTCTTTTGTTCCCGAAATTAGTACAATGCTTTCTTAAGAACATCGAGAAATTCTATTTGCCATGGTGCAAAAAAAAATAATAATAAAACACGGAAATTTATTAGCCACCAGCATCCGGAATTGCACCTATGCAGGCTGCCACAGCCCACTGACGCGAAAACTCACAGCCCAGTGCAGTCGGGCAACACTGATGTGCTCTCAAAACCAGGGACGCTCATTGTAAATCGCTTCATTCGAGACTGCCACTGGAAAGGTCTATAAGGTGGCTAGCCCAATCGCCATCGCAACCGTTTCTTTACATTTGCCATTTTTGTATCCATATCACATGCATTCTCCCGCATCTAAGGACTCCTGCCTGCCATCTTAAAATGGAAAAACAAAATAAATTTCACTAGGAGGCCTTATTTAAACGAAAGGTCAACACGCTGGCAGGAAAAGATAATGCAGCAGCACTGCATGGCCTCGCAATCCCAGTGACCCGACGAGCTCGCAAAGTTTTTTGGAAGATGACCCTCCTAGAGGCGACAACCACGCATTCGTACAAGCGCAGTGATGTGATTGGCCTAAGCCATTTTGGAGCACCTTTTGGAGCGGCCAAAACAGTGTTTTGGAGCAGCAAAAGTGGCTTTTGGAGCAGCAAAAGTGGCCTTTGGAGCAGCCAGAATAGTGTTTTGGAGCAGCAAAAGTGGCTTCTGGAGCAGCCAAAACAGTGTTTCGGAGCAGAAAAAGTGGCTTTTGGAGCAAATATTCTTAGAAAAATAAAAATATTTGTTTTAAGTGCTGGACAAACGAAGGGCACTTGGTGCTGTGTTATGACGGAACTCGCTGTTTCTGTTGTTACTGCCGAGACATTCCACAAGTGTACAGTGTTGTAGGCGTTGCCGAGTGATTCCGAAAAGAACGCTCGCCACCGTTTTACTGGTTCCTGCTTCCTGACGTGCCAGATTTTCGTTAAAAGTAAGCGAACGCAAAACAATGGATTGCAAGCGCCCCGGCTGGTGCTTTGCCGTGCCGTCATGTTCACATGCACGTGAGGGCAACTTCAGCAAGCTTGCAGTGGCACGTGCTTCGTCGCGCTAGCAGAGACAACGGCTGTTCAATCGAAACCGAAACAATGCCACTCCACTCCGTCGCCAACTGGATCCCAAAATAGTATACAAAATACAACTGTCCAGCATTCGACAAATCAAAAAAAGAAAACAGTCCAGCGGCGCGGCGCTTGCTTGCCAGGCCGGCAAACGAGGTACAAGCTAAATGGAAAGAAAAACAGAACCTAAGCGCATCGGTGCATGACATCCTGAGCCAGGGCCAAAAGTTTTTTGGAGCGCTCTGAGCAAGGACTGAACTCGAGACAAACAAGCGTGCTGTGTGGGTTCAGCGTGCAGACATTGCCTTCTTTGCTTCAGCTCACTTCTCCTCACCAACATTTTTTTTGCGGCATTTTTCACGTAGCGGGGTCCCTCTCGAAAGATAGCCCGCCGAGAGAAATCTAGGTAATAAATATTTTGACGAGCAGTCTTTGAGTTAAAGAGGGATTTTTCAGAAGAAGAGGAATGTTGATGAACAAGTTTAGAAAGCGCCATATCTGCAGCGACGTGAGGACGGCAACACCCCATGTCGCACGACCACGGTGACCCAGTGGTCGCGCGAGCGTTTCAGCTAACAAAGTAACTCTCGCCGCGCAAAAACATTGTTTTGTTTCACAGCATGATGGCATAGCTGGCACCCGGCACACTAGCGACGGAGCGTCCGCACATTCCCGCGAAACAAAAATTGAAAAAAGAAGACGCGAGACGAGATTCCGCGACGACAAGGGCGCGCAACGCGAGACGGCGGCAAAAACCATGCAAGACCGGATGGACGACTGATGCCGGGTACTTTGTGTCGGGCGGCCGCTTGCCCCACCTATTCGCAACTCCAACGCCCTATAGGTGGCGGGACGGTAGTTCCAAGATGGCGGAAGATACGGGGATAGATTCTCCAGGATATCCCGTGCGGCTGCTCGGTGACGCTGTTCAGCGCCCTAAAAACGATTTATTTGTCTACATATGCGAAGCGGTTAGGGAGGGATCATATTACAGCTGACGGAGAGGCATTCCGACAGCTGGATTTGAAGTTGACTCAAGTGAGCCTGTAACAATATGATCTGTCAAGTGTTTACTTTGCAATAGGACTCACCCTCTTGAACTCTCCCATGTTGGTTGTGTTGATAGGGCTTCCATAGACCACCAGGTAGTTGATGCGAGTGGTCTCTGACCCAGACTGGTTGTCCTTCACAAATATCTGAGAAAAGAATTAAGCCCAGTAGAGTCTTTTGTGCGCTTTTAAAACCAAGATGAATTAAGCCCACCCTGGCTTCGAGACAACGGCACCGGTTGCTTCAAAAAGCAAGAAACCTTTGGCAAATGCTCTTTTTCAGCACGATACCACGAATGAATCTTGTAGAGGGAAAGCTACAACAGTATGAATCACATGCAACAGCGGCACTTTAACAGACCGCTGTTTTAACAAACAAACAGAGAAATCACTGAATGTTTCTTGAGGCTTTCTGTGGTAATGATGGCGGGTAACTGCTCAATAGTGCAAAAGCAACAGAGGTAATACAACCATAAAATTCCGAACAAGGTCCGCCTATAGACTCGCAAAATAATTACGAGAAAACTGGAGATGGACGCTGGCTTGAGTCCGATTTATGTACACTTATTCAGCTGGCATTGATGTCGCTGGCCTGTCCCAAATATGGCGCAACCTCCTCCGCGGACGGGACTTGGGCCGCCCGCAAAAGAGGCTCTGCCGTATATTTAGAACAGGCCCCAGCGACATCAATGCCCATTCAGCTCAGCCAATTTTGAAGTTTAAAATAAAAGAGTGTGAGCCCATGCAGTGTATCAACGGGAGCTAGCTCAGTGGGTTATGCTGTGCCAAACTAATGTTATTTAATTAAGGGCACACAAATATTGCTTCAAATTGAATTGTGCAGCATCCCCAACTTCAACACTATAAAGAAAGCCGATATAACATGACTTTCCTCTGCACTGTGAAGGCAATCAGTGATGCAGCACTATTCTCACACCCCTATATTTTTAGGTACATACGCCTCGAGCACTTACCGTGAACATTTCAGTAAATGGATTGCATAAATTTAGCAACGAGCCTAAGTATGCAAAAGGTTGCAAGAGATGACTCCGACAGGCAACAAACAATGGCACTGTGCAATGCACTCGCCAGCGCCCCCTATGCATCAGTTGGGTAACTCAAATTGAAATGTGTAGAATTCCCCAAAGTTCCATAGGGTGTACAACATAGAAACCAAAGGTTTAGCCAGGCTTACCTGCAGGTTCTGGACGTTCTGAAACTTTACATAGCGAAGTGGTATGACTGCACCTTCCTCAAGGTCATTTGCAGAGAGCCTGAAACAGCAAAAGTCAATTGAAACACCCGATTTAGTGGGTCAATGACACACGCTTTCTGCACACCATACTAATCAGACTTGTCTGGTCCTCTGGGCCCAAGAGCATAAAATATGTTTCCCAAGATATGGGCCTCCTTGAAATAACAAACCAAATAGTACTACTGAAACTAGGATATGCTAATTTTAAATGTGATAATGAGAATGTACGTGCTTCTCGACGCATCGGAAGACATTACTGCAATGTAATAAACAGTTATGTAATCCACATTTGAAGAGTTTTCCTTTGAAAAGAGCCAAATACATTTCAACGAGTGGAGGACTTAATCAGGAGCTACTTTCGTCTCCCGACTGGAATAGATTTCTTTCATCTATTTTAGTCTGAAAGTGGCTCATTTACAATTAAATGAGCGATCAATGTTGTATGTGAATTCGGCTCAACGACCCCCCCCCCCCCCCCCCCCCCCCCCCTAAAATTTGTCGACATTATCTCGTAACCTGCAAGAATTTCTTTGAACACCCATCCCCAATGGCTGTTGTAACAGCTGCAAGTCGGAACGCTTGGCCTCCTCGCCGTGAGCTCCGACCTGTTCGTGAAGCGGGGCCTTTCTCTTCATACTCTTTCGGGGGAACCTTTTTTGTTCCCCTGCTCGGACGCAGTAAGAACCGGCAGGCGATGGATGAAGTTTCGCCTCTTCTTTTTCCGCTTTGGAGAAAGGAACTTTTCCGGAGGCTGTGACGGCGTTAAGGTGCTGTATAGATTGTTACTTCTTCCTTGTTTATTACTGCATGATAGCTGCTGTCGCTAATTAGATCAATCGGGGACACAGACCTCGTCAAGCCACACTCCAGTGGCTTTTTGTCTGTGCTCCCGACATCACCATCCTTGTACGATGTTGTGTCAAATCAATAAATTCGATTTGATTTGAAATGCGTTGTCAACAACTTCTCAGATGCTTTCCCAATCTCAACTCTCCGGGACCTTGCATCCGGTGGGTAAGAACCTTTTTGCATCCCTCCAGCGCGGGGTTCGTCTTGAATGGAGACATATTTCGTTTTAGGAGTGTTCAATAAACGCTCTTGGACTCTATCCTTACTCTGGTATGCTCACCTTCTCTTCTATACGTTTTAGAGAGAGGGGAGACAGAATAGCGATCGTTGGCATGACGGCAGGTTTCGTCGAACTGAACCACGGCGGCAGGGCCTAAATGTCGCCCACACCACTGCAGAGACGTGGGACCACGTCACTAGGCAATGACTCCCGCTTCGAGACCCTTGCCACCATTAAAATAACCCCTTGGTTACTCAATTAGTACCTTTGTTGGTGGTGGAAAACCCCACTAACTTTAGGTGGGGACTGCCGTTTTATGCTAGGTATATCGACAACTTTCTCGAAATGGGTTTCTGAAGTTACCGACAGAGTGAGAACGGGATGGCACCAATTTCAAATGCCTGGCCTCTGGCACAGGCTCATTGCTCTCATCGTATTTTTGGCTGCGCATGCATGCTTGAGGATCACGAGACATGGAAACGCTACCGAAAGTAGCAAACGCGCCGGAGGTGGGTTAACCGAACGACCTCCCTGCTGCTCTAGCCCCATCATGACCATAAGTGCTCATTGTTTTAGGTGCCATGTTTTTCAGGTATGTGCCCACGCCATTCAATCTTGCCTAATCAGCAGCCGACGTGCCGCAAAAGCAATGCCATTTTCTTTGCTGTTTCTGATAAAAGCAAAACTTGAGGTCTGCAATATTCGTATGAAATCAATAAAACCAATCTTTAAAAGCCATCTTTGAAAGCGAGTAGTATTAACAAAATCTCACTGTTCAGCGTACATATTTTCCGGTCTATAAGTCTCGTTATACGAGTCGTAATCCTCTATAAATGGCCGCTTTCGCTAAAAAGATTGTATATAAGTCGCACTTCGCACAAGTCGTGCTAATATGTTTGTACAATGGGCACGACGAAACTTTACATGTGTATTGTGATCGCAATATGTGTGAAAGCGGCAGCCAGTTTCAATATCGTTGCTGACGAATCAAATGAGAAATATAACCCTGCGAAAAATTGGCTTAGTTAAGGGCCGTACCAATTAAAAACGCCTATACAAGGTCGCATCATTGTGTGAAAATTTTTGAAAAAAACTGTGACTTGTACATCGGAAAATAGAGTAGTCATAAAATTGAAGTTAAAGGATTAAAAAGAAGTGCTCATGCTAGTTGCATTCCCACGGCACGATTGGGGAAATGTAGCTAAAAATTTAACCGATCCTCAGTTTTCAATTTGGGCATCTTTGCCTGTAAAGGATGGCAGCGGCAAATGTTGAATAGGGATATTCAGCTTGGAATGTTGTGCTCGAGCTGAGTAAAGTGTGTGGCAATTTCAAACTAGTGTACATTGCAAAATGTAGACATTGCTCTTTCGCTCCAATGCAATATTCGCGAGTTATTAGCAAAAAAGACTAGGCATCAAGAGGGTGCACAAGCCATCTTTCCAAAACTGGTCGCTGTAGAACATGGAGTGCTTAGCAGGTTTGTCCGAGCCGCTCCTTTGCCGACTACATACGACATTCGGAAGGAAATAAATGCTCACATGGCGCAAGTTATCGCCATTATTTGTTTGTTTTCAAAAACATAGCGACATAGCTAACCCTAGACAACACTTGCCACAAATTGCAGCTTTGACCGCGCCGATGTTGATTGAAGGCTATATCTTTCCCAGTGATGCAGAGGTTTAAAGGAACTTTTCCGATTTTTCGAGCTACCCCAACTAACTATACCTCCGGAATCACCGGTTTTTGCCCTTTTTGGTATGCTATTTAGTATTGCGAAATTCAGAGTAGTTATTGTGAAATCGGTGAAATCGGTGAGTGAAAATGATGCCAAAATCAACATTCAAATATAGCCGTGCTTTTCAGTGCTGTGGCGTCGGGGGAAGGTGGGCTTGCAGGTCCAGTGGGCAGTCTAAAAATGGGCTATGCCGAGCATTTGTTTTGTGCTGCTGCGCCGGAGCTAAAGCGAGCTTCCAAGGTATTAATTTGACACCATAAAACTGCTTGTAATAAGTAGGGAACAAAGTCCACAGACCAAAGAGTGAACCCTGCCTTCCGCCGACCTCACGTTTTCGTTGTTTCCAGTAGGGACTTTCACTTTGACAAACATGGTGAGGACCAAAATCGTAAATTCAATAAATTTACGAAAAAAAGACGTATTCTGGCACAATATTTGGGTTACCATTTCAGCTATGTTTGTTTGTGTGTTAGTCCTAGTGTTTAGGACAGACAGCATCTCTATAAAATATTTTTGAGGATCTTCTTCTTTATGCTTTATGGGATTCCAGAAGTTGAAAGATGCTTGAAAATTTCCAAGTTCTTCCGAAAGGCAGATGCCGAAAAACGCAACCTCTGACTCCAGCTCTGCCAGGCGACGTCCTAACCTGTCCAACACAGCAAAAGCTTCAAAAATTAGTGCAGTTGATGTGATGGTTGATGTGGATGCACATCAGAAGGGGATTTAGCCTGCTTCAGGTACGATTAACGAATTTATGGTCAGTGCACAGTCGAGCTGGTGGAAGTTTACTAAGATGATTCTAACCTGAGACTGGGGCAGAAGGAGGAAATTTTTCAGAGTGCACTTCTCAGGTGCTCGTTTCCGGGTTGAGCGGCGTTGCCGTCGCTGTTGGCGTAACCGCATCTTGCATTATGGGACGTTTCCCATAATGATGTGACAAGGGTAAACTTTTCCCGCTATATTTGGCAGGAAATTTCGCTGCTAAATTTAGCGGGGGAAATTTTCGATAAATTTCCTGATAAATTTAGTGGGAAAATGTTTGGAAATTTCCCGCTAAATTTAGCGAAAAATTTGGCGAAAATTTTGTGGGAAAATTAATTAATATTTTCCGCTAAATGGGAGAGGAGCAGGAGAGGAGGAGGGGAAGGGCATACACTCCCCTCCTCAAGAGCTGCACTCTGGTTCAGCGTTACAAAGACTTGCAAACGTCTTTCAATTCTTAGTGGAAGTGAAAGTAAAACAGACAGACAGCGTCTCTATTTCGAAATTTTTGAGGATCTTCTTGATGCACACTCCATGAGATTCCAGAAGTTGAAAGATGCTTGGACATCTCTGTGTCAACAAAGTTCTTCCGAAGACAGATGTCGAAAAGCAGAACCTCTGCCTCCAGCTTTGCCAGGCGACGTCCTAATTCGTCCAACAAGAGGAAAGCTCGAAAAATCTGTGCGGTTGATGTGGTGGCTCATGTGGATGAATATGAAAAGGGGATTAAGCCTGCTTCAGGTACGATTAATGAAATAGAGGCAATCACTGGTGAGCGGAAAGCCGCTTCGCAACTTCGCAACGATGACGTACACGAATGGGGAAAAGTATATATTTTTCCTCGTTGCCAGTAGAGAGTCGCCTCCCAGAACTTTTGCAGCTGGTGTAATGTGAAAACATTGTAACTTTAAAAAATATGTTGGCTAGTAGTTGGGAAACGGTTATTGATGTGGTCTGCCAATTTTCAGCCAAACCGAAGATTATCAAAAAATTGGTAAAGTTCTCCTTCAAACTGTGTGAATAACTCCAATTGTGAGCAATCCTGAGCTACTCATTTTTTTATTTTCTATTTACTAACATGTTTGAGAAGAATGCCTGTCACACAAATAAATTATTTCGAGAACAGCACTCACTCTAAGAGCTGAACTGGCTCCATTCCCAATGCCTGATCAAATCCTAGTGTTCGAGGCTGGTTGATGAAGAGCTTCACAGTCTTGGGGCCAGTAGCTGGGAAGGGTGGGAGAAGCAGACATTTGTTTTATGACCTCATGAATTAAAAACCATGATAATAGGTACCTTTAAATGTGCGGGACAGTAATGCAGGTATTACAGTAGAAAATAACACTGGAGAATACACCAATAAACTATTCAAATGCTTAAAATGTAACAGCTTGGCCTGCGTGACTTCGTCGGTTCGAAAAAATAAAATAAAATAAAAGTAAAACACGTCACAAATAATTAGGGCCACCTGTTGCCAGCGATGGAAGCTCTGGGATAATGAGGTTTTTATATTTTTGACAGAAGTTGACATAGCTTGCGCGGAATTTGCAGCAAAGGAAACTAAATATTGCATGTACAAAAGAAGGATAGTATGTACTCTGGATTTTATCAGCCTAAAATATGTCACTACTGGTTTCTTTCCCATGGCACATTATGTCTATACTGTTAGCAAATTGATTGAGTAATGTGGAAAACAATATTTTATAGTATCAAAGACAACACAGCAGGTAAACCTGCAACCATGCATCCATTCTATGCATGATAAGCGTTCGTGAAGTGCAGGCATTTAGATGTCTTTATGCTCTATTATAAGGCCTTTATACTTTATTTTGTCAAATAAATAACATGTTGTAGCAGACGTCTGCTACAAAGCACGACACAGCATGAATGTGTCATCACAACTTTTGCATGCACTCATACTTTGACAGCAAAAATTATGCCATAAAAACTAATGGGTGGTTTCATTTGAAATCGAACACGGTTGTGGAAGTGGGTCTTTCGATTTTTATTTAAAAAATATATGTGATTGCCCCATTCCTGAAAAGAACAAAACCACTTTTAAAAATTTGTTTAAAAAATATTTTGTTTCACAAAAAAATATTGAGTGGAGCACGGTGAAAATCAGTTTTTTACTCCGTGATTTTTCTACCCAGTTTTGTACGCTGGTATGATTACGGAAAGCATACAAAACTCACAGTAATTTTTTGTGCTGTTGTATGTTATTTCGACTATTTTTTAATTCAAAGAACAGTACTTCTGCATTTTTGTTTATTGTTGTAAAAAATGCCACACATCGTCTTTTTGACGATCCGGTGGCATCTTCAGAGCCTTGTAACTCATGAGTTATTATATTTGTCGCTTACCAAATACTATGCGGGTGTTGTCTTACACATGGGCTATCGACAGGCCTAAGTTTAATTTACTTAATTTTCACTGAATTTTTTATAGAAAATTTGAAATATCGTCGAAAATGAGATTAACCGACATTTTGAACCCACTTTATCGAAAAAGGCCATTTTTTATTTCGTTCAATTTTTTTACTATTGCTACTGATCATATGAACTTTTAATTGGCTTGATGCGAATTCTCCCTTTTTCTGTTGTATCTTCTCTAGAAGTGATTGAAATGGCTCCTACTTTCTCGGAACCACCAAACGCAGTTTCCGCAGGTCGGCTGCACTGCAAAGACTATACTGCTTATTTTTGTGTTAAAATGCAGCGGGTAAATTAATTTTGATTAAGAACGCTTGTGCCTGGCTACATATTGAATTTTCTTAATTTTGTAATGATGGCAACTGACATTCCTCAGTCCGATCGTTAGCGGTGCAGGGGATGTTCCATTATCTGAGGCATAAAGCCAGGGAACAAAGGGCGGAAAAAACGGAACCAACGAGCTCTTCATGTAGCCAGACCGGGGCCATATATCTGTTTGTGCTATACACAGCTTGTAAGGCACGTACAGTACGCCCAGCCCTTCGTGCTATAGGCCCATCTCCGTTACATCCAGGAAGCATCTGGCACGCCAATCCATGATGTGTCTTGTCGCGTGCGATCAAATAACCATGTACCTAATTGCCTGTTCTTTATTGCCAGTGTGTATATCAAAAATATGTAATATCACATGCCCCTCTTTAAGGAAAAGCAGTTTACAGAAAAAAATGGGGAAAATGGACTGAGTTTACATGAAGCGAAGACAATTTTTTACAGAACACAAACACCACTTGGCGATAAATAGTCGCTTTTATTAATTGATGCTAACATATTTAGGATGCACTTGTAAAACAATATGTTGATGTGCTTTAAGGGGGGACACTACCCAGAAAAAAACAATTCCTACAAAAAAAGTTGATTTTGAAAAATGTCATATTTACATCCACCAACACCAAGAGAGTATTCCCAGAAAGTTTTATTCGTTTACACTGCATAGTTAATTTTCTATGAATTATTTTCGGTACACCGATGCTAAAGAAAAGGCAGGGGTTGGAACACTTTGAACACATTTTTCTCTGTTCCATTTTTTGGCATAAATTTCACTTTAGAAAAACTATTGTTTTGTTATCCCGTAACTTGGATTCATTTTTATGAGTTTTTCTAGAGTGAAATTTTAAGGGGAAGATAGTTCTTGTATTTTTAATTTTTGTTATTTTTGATGCTCAAGAATTAAAATTTTGGACAAAGAATGGAAATCTAAAAAACAGTATTTGTTTATGTGGCTTTTTTGTCATGAAAGATGGTATAATATAGAAATATAGCTCCATAGCTATCTGCTCTGAACTGTCCTAAAGCAATTGACGCATGAAAACGACAAATTTATTACTAATTTCAAAACGATAGTTTTCCTATGTAGACACGCCCCACTTTCATCTTTACACATTTGCAATTTTTTTTCGTACTTCACCCAGGTTAACAAAATTTGGCAGAAATGTTCTGAACATGAACAGAAACAAGCCCTGTAAATGTAATTTAAATTAGACAAGTGGTTCGAAAATTCACTTTTTTGGGTAGTGTCCCCCCTGTAAGGAGAAGATTGAGTGCGGGGGGGGGGGGGGGGGGGGGGGGGCAAGCTGAACTTTGTACCGCAGCAGTCGGATGCAGCCGAGAAGTTCAACACACAGCGAGGTAAGTCGAGACGGACAGAAGGAAGAAAGCTGGAGCCATGGAGCCAAAGTGAGCGAGCAGTGAACCCGACACAGTGGCCCTTCTGTTTGAACCAGTGTGTGCAGTTAAAAATAAAAGTGTTGGGTTTTGTTCAAGACTGGATCCATATCCCTGAATGCCAAACAACGATTCCCACATGCACACAAGGCAACGAAAGCGGTCACTTAATGTCTCTGTAGACTTTTAGTTCCTCCGCTCTGCCGCACCGAGCTTAATGCAAAGATTTTACAGCCTTCGGGAATATGGAAAAGCGATTTGACGATTTTATTTTAGGTGGCTACGGTAGATTTGCTTTGGCTAGGCACACATTGCTTTGGTTTGGGAATAAATAAAGGTTTGTTCTATTTTCTCCTTCAAAATACAGCGCGTCCGGCCAAGGCAGACTTGGCACCGCTGCATAAACAGCATCGGGGAATGTGTCTTTCATAATGCCGGAGACTACGTCTCGTGCTGTCACCGCAGCGAACTGTGCACCACATATGTGAGAAGCGTAATCTTGTGTGAGCACCTACTGAGGCCCATTCTTCTTTTTTGTGCTTCCTGAATATATTGATTTCTTTCTCCGATAAGTCGAAAAGCACAACGCTTCTTGCCATTGTTGTAATTTTTTTATTTTTTTCAACAATGTCCTTTGACGTTTGTACCTAGGAGCCGTCCTACGAACGAAAATTGTGTACTGTGGCGAGGTGCTTCAAGCCTTACAACCTGTCTATAACACAAACAGATATATGACCCCGGTCTGGCTACAAGAAGAGCTCGTTCCGTCTTCTTCGCGCCCTTTGTGCCCTGGCTTTACGCTACGGATAATGGAATAAAGCCGCTGCACCGCTAACGATCTAAGGAATGTCAGTTGCCATCATTACAAAATTAAGAAAATACAATATGTAGCCAAGCACGAGTATTCTCAATCAAAATAAATTTACCCGCTGCATTTAAACGCAAAAATAAGCAGTATAGTCTTTACAGTGAAGCCGACCTGCGGAAACTGCATTTGGCGGTTCCGAGAAAGTGGGAGCGATTTCGATCGCTTCTAGACAAGATACAACAAAAAAAGGGGGAAATTGCATCAAGCCAATTGAAAATTAATATGATCCGCAGCAATTACAAAAAAATTTAACGAAATAAAAAATGGCCTTTTTCGATAAAGTGGGTTCAAAATATCGGATTATCTCTTTCCGATGATATTTCAAATTTTATATAAAAAATTCCGTGCAAATAAAATAAACTTTTGCCCGTCGATAGCCCATGTGTAGACTACACCCACATAGTATTTGGTAAGCGACAAATATAATAACTCATGAGTTACAAGGCTCTGAAGATGCCAACATATCGTCAAAGAGACAATGTTTGGCATTTTTTACCTCAATAAACAAAAATGCAAAAGTATTTTTCTTTGAACTAAAAAATAGTCGAAATAACATACAAAAGGAGAAAAGAAAGTTACTGTGAGTTTTGTATGCTTCCCGTATTCATACCAGCGTACAGAACAGGGTAGAAAAATCACAGAGTAAAAAACTGATTTTCACCCTGCTCCGCTCAATATTTTTTTTGTAAAACAAAATATATAAAAAAAAAAAGTTTTGAAAGGTGGTTTTGTTTTTTCCAGAAATGGGGCAATCACATATATTTTTTAAATAAAAATCGAAAGACCCACCCCGACAAGCGTGTTCGATTTCAAATGAAACCACCCTAAATAGTGTATCTGGTACAATGCATCAATGTGGCGCCCTAACTTGGGTGGCAAAAATTAGTGGTACACACCAGCTCATAAGAGTATGTTGCTAAAGAGTGCCAGTGTCATGTTTGCACAAACTATGTGATGAAGACTACATATGCTGACGAAAATGCATTCTCATAAAACTAATAGCTTCTCTTTATCAAGCTGACAATTTTTATCATTTAGTTTGTCCTAGATCAGACTACAGCAGATTCAGTAAAAAAGACTTCCTGACAGTTCAAGTCAGCACATCGACAAGATGCCACCTTATGACTTATCTAGTACATTCTTCACTGAAAGTGAGATGTAGTGCTGTACTTTTATATAAACCACCTTTCCTAATTGACTATTTCTCTCCCTTTCTTTGATAAACACATGCAGTATATACCAGATTTTCAATGTGCTAAATCTAACACCCAGTCCTCTTGGTAGCATACATCAGGCACTTCACCTTTTGTTTTGTCAAATGAATGATCTAAAAGCACCTATGAAAGTGGAAATTGGATTTTGGAATTTTCAGCTAGAAATGCAGTTTCCCTTAGTATTTCACAGCATGAATTTGGTTCCAAGGTCATTGTGAAAAAAATGGAACTAAACCATGGTAATTTATAACGACATCATCTACTCTTCAATCGAGTTGAAGAGCAAAGAGATCAGAGCTGCACAACATACAGGCCGCGGGCCACAAGCGGCCCGCAAGCGATTTTTCTGAGGCCCGTGGTATCGCCTAATCTTTTGGTTACTAGCGCAAAAAGTGTGAACCCAATTTAGCTCAAAAGCTGAAACTAAATGGATTTAGGAAGAGATACATTTATTTGATCACACACCATAAAGCAGTTAACAGACATTTACTACCTTATTAGAAAGAAATAGCTTCAGTTGCTCGTTTTTGTCAATCCCACACATGAAAGTGCTGAAAATATGATCTCGTTCTGCCACAGAGAGCAGAGCAAGTTTTTGCTAGAGCTGATCAAAGCATTAGATATTTATGATATTCCTAATTGATGCAATTTTCAGACTTGTCACAATGTGTACATTTGGAACTTGCAGAAAAATAAATCATCATAATAAGCGGGAATGCTATGCACCGTACCCCACTAAATAGGAACCCTTTCACACCGAGTGACTGGCCAGAAAAATCCTCAGACTTTTCTTGTATGAGAAGTAGAAAGTTAAACCCTCACAAAAGCTAGCCGAGTCTCGTTGCAGAAGAACATCGGATTCACTCAAGTACTACCGAATCCCAATCAATCAATTCCAAAAGACAAAATTTCTCAAATAAATCCAAATTGTAAAATAGCTTTCCAGTGCCTATGCAACTTTTTAAAATTGGTTTAGAAAATACAGACCTGCTTTATAGTATTCTTAAGATACGACGTCCTGCAATGTGTAAAAAAAGCTGAGACGAGCCCTGCTGATTCTGAGTATTGTTGGACGGTCGACGACAAAAAGTTACAGCCTTAATGTCTGGCAGCGGCCCGCGAGGTTCCAAACAAACTTGGTGTGGCCTGTGCCATTTTTCTTCTGTTTCAAAACTCTCGGACAGATTTCAAGAGTCTCTGAAAACTACCAAAATCTTGTAGAGATTCCTTTCAACAATAGATGATATTTGAGTTGCTCTACAATAGACTTCAAGGGTTTTCAAAAACTTTCAAAGGATTGTTGAGATTCCTTTTAGAGATTGAATTATAATTAAAAAAAGGTTGCACCATGTTAGAATGGAGTTTTCATTTGACCACACTAGAAAAGTCCCCACTTTTGGAAGCAAGTGTGGCATGCAAGTGATTGCTAATGAATTTAGAGGCTTTTACAAGGCTTAGTATTAAGAGACTCAAGCCTTTGAACATGTAAGATTCAAGTTTACACAAGGCTTTCAAAGATCTGCATGAGCATCCTGCTGCTGAAGCAATTTTTGCAACTTACTGTGGATAGAAAGGGACTTTAACTGAATAGACCAGGGTGCCCTTCTCCAAAACGATTTTGTTCTATTACACCCCCGCATGAAATACCTGTTAAAGACTGCTTTTATAGTCTGCTACTTCAGTTTATTTTACTTGTGCTAAACTGTTACAACTGACACCCAGGATTGTTCTACAGTGTAGACCGCATATAATGTATGTCGCGGGAGTCGCGAAAATCCGCACTATAAGCGGTACCGCGCTATAACCAAAACATCAATTTTTCAGGCCAGAATGCATGCCATCAGACAACTTACCTTTGTAAGAGAATTTATTTTATGTTAGATGAAAAATAAAGCTTAGTTTGAGAAAAGTCTTTATTTCACCAGACTAGTACACTTCTCTCTCAAGTGTGTCACACATTTTGAAAAAAATGAGCGACTCTTGCCTAGCGAAGGCTTTTTAACGGCTTCGCGGGTTGCGGACAGACGTTGCGAGCGTTCAGGATTGCTAACCCTAATCACTTTTCTCCGGCAATAAAAACGCGTGAAAATTCGCGTCCTTTATACGGTACGCGCCAGTAATACCTTCAACTTCTGCACAGGCATGAAATACTCCAAATAAGAAATCCGGGCAATGTTCGAAAACACAAATGCTTAGAAAGCACCACTGTAGTCGAAGTAAACAAACACGATGACACGGGCGTTCCTGCCGTCTTGAGAGTGCCGCCACAACATCGCCGCACGAGTAGGTGGATCTTCCCTTCTAGTACATGCTGGGTTATCATAACGACACACGAGGAAAATTCACAATCAAGGATAGCGCTTTTACGCGGAACGATGAGCCTTTACCACACCGTCTACGTCGACGATCAAAATCGACGCCATGTTTGCGGATAGAAGCAGCCGGCCGGCCGGCCCGCGACCGGCATGCAACGCACGCGAACACTTTTCTTCGACCTGTGATTGGTCTGTCGTGTGGTTGTTTCCAATTGTTTCCAACGCAGCGGAGAGACGCACACACGTGAACGACGCGTGCGTGCGTCCCTCCGTCGCAAAGGCAACTGAAGCCTCTCTCTTTGCTTCTCCCCGCTTCTTCGAGCAACCTCCTTGCCCCGCGAGTGTCACACAGGAAAGCGTGCTCTCTGCGTCGGTCAGCCGGCGCGGTCGCCAGGCTGTTCCATAAACCGCACTATAACCGGTATTTCCCTTCGCACGCCTGCATTTTAAGCGGAATGTAATTACATGGAGTTCTATGGGAGGCGAACCGGTGGTTTAAAAAAGCCGCGTTATACCCGGTCCTGCACTATAAGCGGTTACGTTGTAAGTGGTCTATACTGTAGTATGTCTCACACCTGATTACTATGTCTGTCCCACCCTCCTAACTGTCACCCACAATCGGAGCAGATATATTCAGAAAAGCTTGGCTTTCAAACTAAACACAAAGCTCTCAACTTTGATGCCTCGAAAATTGAGTAGTCATTTCAAGGCACAAAAAAGAAAGAAATAAACTTACTGGCTGGAGCTTGAACCTTGAGTGAGTGCAGTTTGACAGGCTGGAGGAAGCCCAGAGAGATGATGAGCTGGAAAAAAATCAAAGTGAAATTGTCGGGCGATGCAACATGACATAAAAGGGGAACACTCAGATATCACTTGACTGCAGAAACTAGGTGGTAAGAGAGAAAAAAAAAGTAAAGAACCAGAACGAGCTCCAACTGCCACTGCCTGAACTTTCATTGGCATCGCCTGCTATGCTACTGGATAACAGTTCATCAACTGCCAGGGTTGCACTGGCAGATCTAGGTAAAGGCAGAGAAATTAGAAATAGTTGCATCTGACCTCGCTGTTTATTTCAGCTAGAAATTATTGATACGAAGTTAGCTTATTTTTCACTTGGCAAAACCAAATGCATGAAAGAGAGCAAAGGGAAAAGACCTGGGACAAGGTAAAGCTGCATGAGGCTGGACATTGTAAGTCTCTTGCCTCCAATCAATGAGACACAAAAATCAATACACTCTGCAACATTGAACCAGCATCAAATTCATCAATGTCAGCATGATACCAGTCAAATTGAGAAAGGCCTTGGCCACCTTCAAGGGCATGCTATTTCGGCAATTCAAAGGACCCCTCAGAAGGTCTCTCTCTTTTGAGGTTCGCAGAACTTGTAAGTTTTCTCCCATGCGCAGCTGGATAATTTCAAGCTAGCTCAATGTGAGTAGACAAATATGGAGGCTGGAACGAGTGCAGTCACTGCTTAAGCAACATCAGACATGGATGAACGTTAAACCAGAAAGGCAGACAGCAGTTCGAGATAGTCATAACAGGAACTCGATTCAACTGTCTCCAAGCTCCTTCATCAATGTCTACGGCAGCACACCCTTCACAGCAAGAGTAAACAAAACAGTGTTTTCATTATAATTTGATACCAATGCTGAAAACATTCTAATGAGCAAAAGAATATGGTGGAAACACTACAATGTGGACCACACAGTGTAGAAAGGGTGCACTGGTCTGCGATTGTGAGATGAGACTTGTGGGTTGACAGAACGACGAGAGAGGGGTGCGCACCTGCTCATCGCAGTCAGATTCCAGGTAGCCATCACCCGAGGAAAGGCAGCCAGCGAGGGGGTGGTCGTCAGACTCATTCAAGCACTCCTGGGCACTTCGATCATAGAATGTTGACATGTCGACCTGAAAATGGGATGTGTAAAGTTGTCAAAAATATTGTCTCACATGGTAATGTATGCATCACAATGAAATTAATGCAGTGTCTAAGTGACACCAGGACTCAGATAAGAACACTTAATGCATGATGAACACGTGCAGCACACACAGGCTGTTTCATGAAATGCATGCCAAAGCTTTCCTACTATGTGCCTCACAAAAAGCGTTATTGATCTCAAATTCATTACTGACAAAGGACCTTATTTATAAAGTGCATGCAATCGGGAAAGCTAAGTGCTGTTTTTTTTGTTTTTTTTTTAATTAACAAAATTTCACGAAGGAAAAGGTATACATTAAAACCCACTAAATAGGTAGATGTCTTTTTTAGAAAGACCTAAAGGGGCACTATAGACGCTTTTGAGTTCGCCTTTTAATGGCAATAACTCAATTTGTGCACTTAAGTCATCGAAAACAAAACAAAAAGTAATCTTCTTGGTAATTTCTCTATTAAATATGATCAAACATTGCTACATATCTCTTTTTACAGAAGAAGGGTCTTTTGAGAGAGAAATAGGCCATGCATGACTAATTTAAAATTTTAAAGGATGCTTAGAGTGCATATACCAGGGGTGGCCAAGCTGCGGCTCACGAGCCGCATATGGCTCTTTGGTTGTTAAAGTGCGGCTCGCGACTTTCTCCCCTAACCCCCGCCGCCCCCCCCCCCCCCCAAAAAAAAAAAGAAGAAGAAAAGGTTAAACGCGTTTTGAATTGAAAGACAGGTTGCGGTTTGGTAGTATTTTGCTACTGCTATCTTACGTATAATCGGACTGCTTTTAACTCAGATAAATTGAAAGTAGTTCGAGTTTCGTGTATTGCTCGTAACAAAAGTCCCCCTTCCCCCCTCCCCGCGGCTCTTGGAACTTTCGTGGTTTTGTTTGCGGCTCTTAGACCGTGTCAGCCTGGCCACCCCTGGCATATACTGTGTTATTTCCCAAAAAAGACAGCTCAGACACCTTTTAATGCCCCCTATGGTTTGTGCTGCTTTGTTGCCATATCCCAGAAAAATTTTAACATTTTAATGAGCCATTGAGTTTTCAGTTTCGTGTTATTTTGAAACTGGCAAAAGTTTACCTGAGCCTTATTTTTTTTTATAGAAGTGATTGTGTGGTTTTTACTGACAGTCAGCAAGTCTCTAAGTGAAAGCATACCTTTATTTTTACTCATTATATAAGCTACTATATTCAGATTTAATCAAACACTTAATTGTACTGAATGTTATATACCTCCTTAAAGGGGCCCTGCAATCATATTTAAGCGTCTAGCTTTTTTGCGCTTTCCACATCTCTTGGGGTTTGGGCAAGCTAGTGGGCACGGAGAGAACAACTAAATATCACTGCATCATTATTTTATTGGGACGACGCGGAAACCCCCTCCACCGACGAGGGCGACCCGCGGTACAGAAAGCGCGCAAAATGTGACGTCTTTCGTCCTGGGATTACTACTGGTCAAAGCCGCTAAAAGCTTCTTTTTAGTCAAAATACAAAATATAAGTAACGCAAACCGTTTCAATTATTTATAAAGTAGTTTTTGTTCACGATTTGAGATCAGAAAAGAAACAAATGCAGTTTATAAAGTACGGAAACAAGAAATGACCCGTCGACGTAGCCACCACCAAGCGGTGGAAAAGGCGGCACATACTAGAAAGGAGTAGTGGGATCAGGTGCCGTCACGGAAAAGTCCCGGATGTATACGGCGGAGCTGCAGTCGTATGGACAGGAGGATCCGACCGGCTCCGAGCGTTCTGTAGGCCTTCGGCGAGAAGCTTCGTCTTGCGGTTCGACCATTTCGCGGTATGGCAGCGCAAAGTGGCTCCCATTCTGAATTGATCTTTACCTCGTGTTTGCTGTCGTTTGTGGCCAATGAAGTGTCATGCCGAATCAGTATTTAGCCACGCAGCAAATGCAATGAGAGCCACTCTTGCTGCCCGCTGCATACAGCCTATCCAGAACATGCTTTAGTGGCGCCCTCTCACGCCGTCGACACGGAGTGCGGCAGCCGTGAGCGCTCGCTGAGCTCACTACCCCTCCTCTAGTTCACGGCCACTCTCAAGCAACCAAGGGCGTCATGAGGGAGGTTATTTTTTGCTTGTTTTTGTAATTTTAATTTGCCTATAACTTTTAAAATAAAGTGAATTTCGAGAAAAGAGAAGTTTCACTAAGTTACTACGTTCAGTGCGCTCAGGTTCGGTGCAAATTAAAAATTAGGAAAAAGTCATTGCAATGCCCCTTTAAAAGGGCATGCCATCAACCTTTCTTCTATCATATATATTTCAGAAAATTTTTGTTAACATCTCGTGAAACTTTCTATAAATTAAAAGGGACCATGAAATGATTTATCTGTTATTTATAATTTCAAGATTATGGAAGAAACAAGACAAGTATTTGTTGACATAATGAGCCAATTTTAAAAATTAAAACTAAGCCAGTCTGGGCCGAAATTCTAAGTATTTTTTTGTTTTGTTTTTAATACAATACTGTTCACCCCAAGTATGGGGCTTTAACATGTGTGGGGTATAAGAGAACACTCAAACATACAACATCAGTATATACCACGGGTGGCCAGGCTGACCCGGCCTAAGAGCCGCAAACAAAACCACGAAACTTCCAAGAGCCGCATGAAAGAGGAAAGGCAGAAAAAGGGGGGATGGGACTTTTGTCTACAGCAATAAACGAAATTCGAACTATTTTCAATCTATCTGAGTCAAAAGCAGTCCAACTGTATGTAAGGTAGCGGTAGCACAAAACTATCGAACCGCTACCTGTGTCAATTTAAATCGCGTTCCGCTTCTCTTTTGGGGGAAGTGCTCGCGTAACCTGGAGGGAAGCGGGTGTGTGTGTGTGGGGGGAGGGGCGGATGTTAGTGGAGGGAGCTGCGAGCCGCACTTTAACACGCGAAGAGCCGCATGCGTCTCGGGAGCCGCAGCTTGGGCACCCCTGGTATATACTATGGGGGTTCATTGTTTCCAAAAGGTATTAATCTGAAATCTGTCATATCGTGCGAAAAAAACCATTGTAAATGAGCTAGTCCAATAAGCACACATTCCTGTTTATCTCAGTATTGCTTCACATGCATTTGGCTCATTTCGAAAAAGCATTTTCCTCATTTTCTGGCTGCCATATATGGTGCTGCTGAGTGTATGCTAAAGGTAGGCTTCAACAACGATTCCACAGGTTTTATTCTACACTATCAAAGTTGTTTCGGGGGTTGAGTGAGCTGTCCGAGCATGCACTGTGAACTGTGGCATCCGGAGAATACACTCCAAAGTAGCTGTGTTTTGCTGGAGTGTGAGCGAGTACATGGTCAAAGAAAACTTGCCAAGATTCACTTTCAAGGGTGTAGCCAAAGAGAGAGAGAGAGAGAGAGAGAGAGAGAGAGAGGGGGTACATAACGTTTCAGCTAAAAAGTTCCTAGATATGCCACTGTTCACTTTGCCTTCATGAGACCCCCGTTCCCCAAAGATGGAGGGATTAGTGGCAGAGTGTGTTAGAGCAATGAGCTCAAAGCCGACGGAGAGAAAGTGAGGGTTCTTAGGTGCAACCCCAGCCCGAATCAATCTAAATGATAATTTTGCCACTGTGCGTTCATGCGTCACTACTGTGTGGTGCATGTTAAAACCCCAGGTTACCAGACATGCTGCACAGGCTAAATTTATTGTATAAAGCATAATCCAGTGCAGGGGCGGATTCAGAGGGGGGGGGGGGGGGGGTCCGGATGTCCTGACCCCCCTTTTGAATTTTGCATGTGTAAAAATTTAGGGCATGGAAACGGGAAAGAGGGGAGGGGGATCTTAAACATATGACACGCTGACCAACACCTCAAGAAATACCATACATATGACACGCTGACCCCCACCCCCTCAAGAGATACCTGCGTCCGCCCCCGATCCAGTGTCACCACACCTCAGAGGCAAACCGACCGACCTTACACTGCCTAAACATGAATGCTTAATTTGGTTTTGTTCCCAGAGATGACATATCTGTGATGTAGGAAGTAGTCCACAGCGGCGGCTCTCAAACTTTTGGCCGTCACGGGCCCCCTGACCTACTCAGAGGCCGTTCGGGGATCTTCAACGCATTCTCTATCAGAGGTCTTGTGCGATGCCATAGGTAAGCTTTTCTTGGAGCATTTTGTTTTATTTGGTGCAGAGCCCGTAAACGCTCTAGAAGACCCCTGGGTGTCCGCGGACCACAGTTCGAGAACCGCTGGTCTACAGGTGTCCCGAAAATAAATACCCATGTAGCCAATCACATGCTGACACCGACCTTCCTGGATAAAGCGACGAGCGCTGAAGTTTGCCAAGCAGCAACAATGCAGCTTGATTTTGTTCAGGCTCCCTTTACACATATGTACCTGTAAATCGCATGAATTCCTAACAAATTTGTTAGTTACCGCACCTAAGGTAAGTAACAAGTTTGATAGGAACTTATCAAGATTTTTATTTCATATCACAGATACATATGTGCAAAGGAAGGTTGAAAAAAAAAAAGCGGCATTGTTGCTGTTTGGCGAGTTTCAGCGTTCATCGCTTTAACCGAAAATCTCGGTGTCAGCATGCAACTGGTTAAATGAGTATTCATTATCACACCCAGAAGTGCAGCTCTAAGTGCAGCTCTATCAGAATGATGCCTCGTGAATGTCAACAACAGCTATGGGAAACAGGGACAGCCGTCCAATAGAAGCTAATCATGCGCTAGTCGTAGTGGTAAGCTAACAAACAAATAAGCACCCAAAGTAAAAAAAAAAAAAAAAAAGCTTTTTAGACAGGTGAGCAAAAGTGGAATTTTCAATAGAAACTAACCAGAGTTGTGCGATTTGGCCCACTATTGCGTTTCAATATTCACCTTTTAAGAAAACTGCTGGAGTGTTTTCTGTCGTCAATCAAGGGGGCAGCAAACGAAAAACACTTAAGCGTGAGTCAGCACAACGGGTTGTCGCTGCCCTAGTCTGTATACCCATAAGTTTACTCACATGGCCCTGCACCGTCTCGGACGAAGTTCCCTCGGAGGGTTCTGAGCCCAGCAGCTCCTGAATCTTTGCTTCCAGAGATGCCGGGTCAGCACCCCTCAAGGTAGCCAGTTTGGCTTTGCTCCGAAAGAAGATGAACGTGGGCACGGCGCTCACGCCTTGCGACAGCGCTGTTTCCCGGCAATGGTCAATGTCCACCTTCAGGAAGACCGCCTGAGTGTACTTGTTGCTCAGCGACTCGAAGTGAGGTGCGATCCTCTGGCAGGGCCCACACCTGCGCGCAAATTGTGTTCATGGACGCAGAAGATGAAGGAAAACGGACCACGTACATATCAACGCGGCTGAACACACACTGACAATTCTGGCGTCGCACGGGAAGAACTTTCCTACAAGTTCAATTTCGGCATTTCTTTGTTCGGACAAAATGCACAGATCAGACTTATGGGCTCGATTACGCTAGAAACAAGTCGCAAATTCCACGAAGGGACAGTGATATGCAAGCATGCAGAGTTCTATGCTATGAATGATGAAGCAAATTGACGAGAAGTCCACCTTCCGTCGGAGAGAACAAATGACCGAGATAGTGGCTCCTTACCAGCTGGCCGTGAAGTCAACAACAACGAGGTTCACTCCAGAGTTGGACAACTCTGCTTGGAATCGAGCTTCATCAGCGATCTGTTTTACCGGCATTATTTCCCCAGAAACGGCCAAACCCTATCTCACGTTAGGATGAAATGCCACGTTCCGCTATGGCGGCGCCACTACGGTCATCTTGCGAACTAAACTTGTTCGAAAATCGGCGGAGGCAATTCCGCTATTTTCGGCGAAACACCGTGAAACGACACAGTTTTATTAAACACAAAAAGTAGTAACGTTGTAAAAAAAGTACCCGGTAATGAGGTTACTTAGCGGACCACATAAACATGGAGATATGAGACGACTACACATTAGAGTTGTCCGAAGTTATCCCGGTGTCGGCGACCAAAGAGTTATTATAATGTACGCTAGAGGTTCAACTGGCGCTAGTGTCTATGCGACTTCCGGGAGGCAAATTGAAGCAGACGGCAACCAGTCTACTTTTGCGGTGCTCCTGTGCATATTATGGGAAAACGCGCGTGAATTTTGTATCTTCGCCGGAAAATAACACGAATAACTCTTCTTATTTCAGTTGTACCGAATAGTATGTACCTTTATTGATATGGTGAATGTGTAATTGCTTTAGTTACAGCATTTTTCTTTACTATTGAACGATGTTAAACTTCGGTATATTTCAGGCCCGAACCTCTGTTCCATGGCAGGTATGTAAAAATGAGCGACGATTCTAAGCAAAATAACAATCGAAAGGAATGTAGAGTGCGTTCAAGGTTCGCTAGCATTCCGGTGGCACTTATATATTGCTAATATGCCCGTTCTGTCACTCACCATATGAAAATGACTCCGTCGTGCATCTTGACGATCTGTTAAAAAATAAAGTATGTGGGCTACGAAAGGTGTGTCTTTTCATTATTTCCTGTGTCGGGCAGTTTTAATCAGGCACCTGTTCTCTGATTCTCCCTATTTGCAAAGATTTGGAGCGTTCGGCTGATGATTTGAACCCAGAACAAGCATCTTCGCACATATTCACGAGCAGAAAGAATAAAGCAGTACTTATTTATTGCATATCTGACTACTAGTATATTACGTGACTTTCAATTTATTTTGATCGTCTGCATGCATAAGGAGTTACTTATCCAGTGTTACTGCTTAGTTCTTGCCGTCTCTCTTGGGTTTTCACATGTAATTCGTTCGTTTTGGCACGTATATCCCCCATGCTGGAAAACGCCGACGCCGTGTTCGCGCTAACAGTGTCCGACAGTGCACATAAATACACGCACGAAGCGGTTTTAACACCGTTTTTCATGCCACGAATTTCAACTAAAAATGCTGTAACTGACCAGTTATTTCATCTGCGTGATTGAGAAATGTTCCAATGTGCCTTGTACATACAAATTATTCGTGATATTTGCTCTTATAATCGAGCGCAGAGAGAAAATGCAGTCGCTTTTTCCCATAGAAATGCATTACCGGAAGTCAATTTCTGACTGGTTGCTGTCTGCTTCAATTTGCAGCAGCACACTAGCGCCAGTTGAACCTCTAGCGTACATTATAATAACTCTATGTCGGCGACGAGCTGAGTGTCGGGGCTTGCCACGCTTGCCACTGATCAGTGGGGCTTGCCTCCTAGAGAGGTAATGGTTCTTTTCACCATTTTTTTTCACTTGAAACTCTATGTTAAAAACCTCCGCAACCTTTTTTTTTTTTTTTAGAATGTTTAGTTTTTATTAGCTTACTTGCGCACTCATATCTTGATAATATTATTCCAGAGACCAGAGAATTTTTTTTTTCGCCTATTAGGATTAAAACAGCTCGTTCGCGTGCTTTCTTTTGGTGTATGGGGTAAAAACCTAAAGACTCAAGGGTGTCTTTAATGTACGTGGTGCATTTAGCATATTCAAATTTCGTGTTTAGGTTTGTGATGAAGAAATAAAATAGAAGACGTGGCTACTCGCGTATTGTACCACAAACGCTCGGACTTGCTGGATCTGCTTTAGGGGGCTCTCTAAGGAACATTCTGGCTTTTGTAGTGCAATGTAGTACCCTATCTGAGTAGCATCGGCAACTCGACTGTTTGCTTCGTTTTTCCTCCCACTCATATATAATAATAATCTGGGATGTGTGGATATTTATACAGCCTGTAGTTGGTCAGCCATCTCGAAGTTGCGACGACGTCACTCGCTGTAGATGGGCAATTTAGCCAGTGCACTACACCCGCAAGCCTGGGATCTTTAACGTGCACCACGCAGTGGTGAACGGGCAGCGGTGGGGATTGAGCCCAGGATCCCTGGGTTCTGCAGTGCAAGCTTTCGCTCCATGAGCTCGGAGCTGGTGTTCCCGTAATGACCTCCGGATAAAGGCAACCATTCTCGACGTTGCCTCCGGGGCTCCTGAGCCCTCCACCAATCAGCAGACGTTGTCGACACCAACTTTAGGTCCTCCAACCACGTCTCACCCCGACGCTGAGCAGGCCAGCTGTCGCATGTAGGTGCAAAGACTCAAAGAGGACGAGGCGCCGTCGCAGACGATGCGTCGACTACTCTTCGTTATCGTCGTCTTTCTTCTGGTCAATCTCGTACTCTTGAGCAGCTCCGCGAACATGTTGCGCTGATACCCTATTTGAGTAGCGTCGGCAACTCGACTGTTTGCTTCGTTTTTCCTCCCACTCACATAATAATAATCTGGGTTGTGGGGATATTTATACAGCGTGTAGTTGGTCTGCCATTTCAAAGTTCCGACGAGTCACTCGTTATAGATGGGCGATTTAGCCAGTGCAGTACAACCGCAAGCCTGGGTTTTTTAACGTGCAACACGCAGTAGTGAACGGGCAGCGGTGGGTATTGAGCCCAGGATGCCTGGGTTCTGCAGCGCGAGTTTTCGCTCCACGAGCTCCGAGCTGGTGTGTGCTAGCCGTGGTGCTAACCCACTCGGCCACCAATCCCATGTTTAGCCGGATTTAAAGATAAATAAATAAATAAAACTATTTAGTTTTAATTTTTTTTTTTTTTTTTTTTTTTTTTTTACATTTTTCTCAGAAGCCTGCACTCACAAAATTTGAGTATGATGAATGCACCACCTAAAGACACATTTGTGGAAAGTTTCATTGGACTCCGTGCATTGGCTATTTTGCTGTTTGTAACAGTGGCGTAAAACAGTTAGGAAAGAGGTCATGCCCTGATGTTTACCTTTATTGTGCACTTTACACAATCTCCGAAAGAAAAAAAAAAGGGGGGGGGGGGTGCGAACGAAGCAGTCGAACGTTACCAGTTGTCGCGCTGGACGACTTACACGCAAGGCTCGCGCGCAGATTTTTTTTTTTTCTTTCTTTTTTTAACATTAACATAAATCACCACAAACGAGCACATTTTCAAAGGAGAACAATTGTCAAAAGTTCCCGTGATGACCTCCGGATAAAGGCGAGCATTCTCGACGTTCCCTCCAGGGCTCCCGAGCCCTCCACCAATCAGCAGACGTTGTCGACACCAACTTTAGGTCCTCCAACCACGTCTCACCGCTAAGCAGGCCAGCTGTCGCATGTTGGTCCAAAGACTCGGAAGAGGGAGAGGCGCGGTCGAGGACGATGCGCCGACTACTCTTCGTTGTCGTCGTCTTTCTTCTGGTCAATCTCGTACTCCTTGAGCAGCTCCGCGAACATGTTGCGCTGCTTGTCCCTGGTCGCCTCGAAGATGCTCTCGTACTTGCCTTTGGAGAGGACCACCACGCTACTGAGGTCTTCGGCAGACATGATCTTCTCGAGCTTCTCGTGCAGGCGCTCCAAAAGGCGCGTCACCTGCACCTTCCGCAGCCGGTTGTAGTCGAGGTCCGCCAGCATCAGGCGGTAGCTGCACTCGTCCAAGATGCGCACCACGTGCCTGGTGTTCTTGATTTCGCGGCAGTCGACCCGATAGGCTCTCGGCACGACCCGCATAGCGCGACATCGCATCAGGAAGGCCGCGTTGTTGGCGTATGAAGCCAGGTCGAACATGGAACGGAAGTACCGATTCACCAGCTCCATGGGGCGGCGACCGTACGTCTTACGCAGGTACCGCTTCAGGGATGACGGGCTGACGTGCTGCTTGGAGTTCGAGCCGGATGACTCGCTCATGTCGTGTTTGTCGAGCGTACTCGTCTCCAGGGTGTCGCCAGCCGCCTTGTTCGAGTCTTCCAGCATCGTAGCCACTCACGCAAGGGGTGGTTCCAGGATTCGGAATGGGCAAGCCGAATGCACGAGCCGCTCTGGGCGCGCGCTCTTGCTCCCGCTGATGCAGCTGTCTGCTGTAGCCACGAGGGGCTCGAAGTCAGCTGGCAGTTCATCGGTGCGCATGAGCGGAAGAAGACGATAGCCATTATCAGCCCCGATGCTCCATGAATTGCTTTTTGTTGTTTTTATGTTTGCTTTTAGAATTACGCATTTCATATGCGGTACGTCAACAATTCTTATCAAGGGCACGTAACTGCCGCCTTCGGACGTTTGTCAAAAAAAAAAAAAAACAACAACTTTGGTATGTATTTATTTTAGCTGACAGCTAGCGCCCTGTCTGATCCAGTCTTTGACAACTGCCAGCCGAGGCTGAAACAATGCCGCGAAACAATTGGAACAATGCGCGCGAGATCAGTCTTCTTGTCACCAATTTACACAAACAAACCTTGCGTTGCCTGGTGTGATCTTGAAATTCCGATCTTGGAGAACGACTGGAAGCAGTGTTTCCAAGGGAAGTACTAAACTTGCATGCAGATGGGAGCAATGAGGGTCAAAAACCAGGCGCCCTATGCTACACAGCGGGACCAAGCGGAACCAAGGGACCGCCGTGCAGCGTATAGGGCTCCTGGTATATACATCAGCTTGACTTGACACGTACTAATATCTGTAATTATAAATATATATATATATATATATATATTATAGTTTAGTTAAACTTGTATTGAAATTCCCGCGCCGATTTTTAGAAGGTCTAATATCTGAACTTGTTGCATTTCGCTTGGTTAACTTAAAATGGCGTCTTTCGTGTCCGTCAGTGTAGAGCGTTTCTGAGATGTTCAAAGAATGTCATACTTCCGAGATTGGTTTATTCTGCAAAACTACTGCTTGCTACTGCCAAAACTTCTTTTTAAATCGTTATCATATAGACGCCGATAAAAGTCTTTTTTTTTATTTTAGTAATAAGAAGAAAATGTTACCTTTCTATACAGGCGCATATATGACCGCAGTAGCTCATGCAGTTTCGCACTGCATGTCCTCAGATGACGTTACAAAGTGACGAGAGCATACGCCGCCAGACGTTTTCGATAGCACATCGAACTGGTTTGTCACACCATAGTTGCCTCTTGCATGAGTGGAAGTTCTCAGCTAGTTTGTAGTTGAAAAGTGGCTGAGATTGTAGCACATTAAAATAATTTGTCGAAGGAACTAACCGGCACACACGCAAATGTGACAAAAAAAAAATTCTTCGCATTAATTTGTGCAGAGGTTTTAAACTTTTTGAAACGACACACCTTACTACATTCTTTCGAGCTATAGCAAGTTACAGATAAAAAAAGTAGGGGCGAGGGAAAGAAAGGCCAGAAAGGAGGAAGCAGACGAAACGATGAAGAGAGGAGGAGCTTTACCCCTCTCCTCTCCAGCGGTCCGTCAGCTTTCTCCTCCCAAGCCTTCCTTTCCCTCGCCCTAGCTTCTTGAGCTCTAACTTAATATAGCCTTGTCCCCCCCCCCCAACCTTTCCGATGAAACTAAGTTAATTGACAGCAGTAATAGTATTAAGGACACCGCAGTATTAAGAACTGCGGCAGTAATGGCCCGCCTCCCATAGAAGTTATATATTGTGTAGGTATACACGTTTTCCGCAAGGGCGCAGTTGTCTTGAATGGCGCCCCTTCTTGTATGCGGTAAAACATCGTTTTGATCTCTTTACGCCTTGGAACGTGTTTACGAAAATTGCGTGAATGTCACACATCCTTGCTTTGCCTGACCTACATTTTCTCGCATATTCCAGGTTGAAATATTTTAATATTTATTCGTTCCGCATATCAGACACGGAACCGACGTCACCCTTACGTCAGTGACGTAGCCAGGATTTTATTTCGGGGGGGGGGGGAAGGGGGGGGGGGGGTTTAACGGCGTAAATTCCCCCCCCCCCCCCCCCCCCCCCCATTGACGAAGAAGGGTGAGCTTGGCGGGCGGCGGAGAAAAGCTCGCCGGAGAATAGCTCACCGAAAAAAGTTCACCAGAGAAACGCTCACCGCAGAACCGGTAGGTGCGGAAAAAAGCTCACCGGCCCTTGAGCGAATGCGGAAACAAGCTCATCGATTTTTTATTTTTTTATTTTTTCTTACTTTAGCGGAATATGCGTCACACGTGGATAATTTAGTACAATTAAAATTAGTCACTTCATTAAAATTAATTGTTCTTTGTTTTGTAGTATAGTTGAAGTTTTTTAAGCATATTTACTAATTCCTCAGAAATTTGTAATCACCAATTCTGCCTATTATTGACGCCAGCAAGTGTAAAATCAGAACATGGGACACCCGTAAAAAGGCAACAATTTATTGACAGCTTGACAGTGCGCCGTCGGTAACTCTGTCAAATAAAAATTATTATTATTATTATTATTTGCAAGCTAATATGAATAGCGGTGCATGAACCGTTTTAGCTCCAACGATTGTGTGGTGCATGATAGATTAGTAGGCTCTTTGTTGATGCAATAAATGTCGGCTACGCTGTTATTTTTTTTCTTTATTTTTACTATCAAAACATCAGTCCCGAGAACAGCTTCGTCCTGTCGTGTTAGTTGTCTTCCCCTCCGTCTTCGTCGTTTGGACTGTTTTCATAATGTATAACGTTTACCAACTCACCCAATTCGCTACCTTACACACGACTAGTTCTTATATAGGTCACGAGTAATAATGGTGACAGTGTGCAGCTCTGAAGGCCATGGGTGGTTCGCCGTAGAGGGCACTATCACACAAGCGCAAAATGTGGAAAAAACAGCATGTTTACGGGTAAAACAGCGCGAACAAGGACACAGCGAACAGAGAAGACGTACTGTACAAAGACGGAGCGCTGATTGTCAACTGTTTTTTTTTTTAAAGAAACGCCCAACGGCATGGTCACACCGAATAAAAATTTACATCACGACACATGACCGTCACAAGTTAAAGCCCCTCAAAAATGCCAGCTCACCCCGCATGAACGGCTAGAAAACGAGCCTGACCTTGGAAGAAAGAATATCGATATCCTATTCTATTCGGTTTTAAGAGGTTGACAAAAGCTTCGAAGATAATTTCCAGGCACTGCGTTGTTGCGCATGCATTTTCGAATTTTCGGCATTTACAGTTTTGCTTTTTAGGCTTTAGGCAGACATTAGGTTTTCGAACTTTTTCATATTTTTAAATTCTTAAAAATACCAGACAGGCTTTCATTGCCTAAAAGTAAACCACAACACTTGCCTTGAAATAGTAATTTGGGAGAAATATGTCCAATAAGCTAAGAAATATTACAAAAAATGACATTTTCTGTTTTACAAAACTGACGAATCTCCAATGATAATAAATTGATGTATCTTACGGCGTGATCCAACAGACTCCATATGAAAGAGGAGAAAAAAAAAAAACGGTGAGCTTTTCTCTGCATTCCGCTAAATGGCCGGAGAGCTTTTCTCCGCATCCCCCGGTTTTAC